ACATCCGCGAGATCCACCGAGTGCTCCAGAAAGTCCGAGATCTGGGAAAGGCGGCAAGTCGCGGCGGCAGGCTGGGCGGCGCGGCGTCAGTGGCGGTGCTAAAACAAAATCCCACGATGTGACTGCCGCGCGTCGCCTCGCCGCTGCGCTTAGATTAGATTAACGTCTGTTATATCCCTACACGCCGTATATCTATTCCGCTGTCATGAGTCTCGACATATCATTAATTCCATCTGTTCTTGAAACATATCCACACCTACTTCCTATAACAACGGATCAAATTCAGCTCTTCGTTAACATATGCAGTCTCATTCGCGACGAGATTGCCCTTGCCTACCCCTCGGATGTTGATACCGAAAGTTCAGCCCCGCCGTTTCTTCCAGACACGCAAGCCGAGTGGATCTGCGAGTGTCTAGGCATTACAAGCGACCAGGCCGAGGTCCTATGGTCCGTCTTCCGGCAAACAATCTGGAGGATTGAGGATGCAAATAAACAGTATGTGACCCTTGCTGATTTGTTTATGGAGAGCGGCTGGCGTGAAGGAATCTGTGAGTAGTCTCTTTCCTCTGTAACTCAAGTGTTTAAACTATTTAGCGTTTATTTCACTGTTCCCCCCAATGCGCCGGTGCTCTCAGCCCGAGTGCAAGGACCGGCAGTCCGAAATGCGCAAGGAGTACGTGCGGGATGCGATCGTATTCACGTTTAATCACGGTATCCAATGGGCCAAGTCGGTTTACCTGACATGCCTCGGTGCGTATTATCTCATCGGCCGCATTCATGCATTCTTATCTTACGTAGGCTGCGGTACAAACTACCGCAACAACTACCACGTACCGCGTGTCCGTGTCAAGGATGGTAAACCATGCCGATATTACTACTCGAAGCTTCCTCGCAGGATCCAAGTCGGTGAACATCATTACGGGGCTCGTCCGACGAGCTAAAGTGGCTGCTACTCGACGTAGATGGGCCACCTGAGGTAGACGGATGGCCCGATGTAGACGGACAGCTCGAAGTAGATGGGCAGCTCGACGTAGACGGAGAGCCCGAGGTAGTCAGTGGACAGCCCGAGGTAGTAGAATGGCCGCCTGGGCACATGTTTGCTGCGACGAGGGGAATAAAGAAAATAGAGAAAGCGAGGGAGCGAGACGAAGAGGGATTCTGGGGAGATAACACTTTTTATTGGGGACGATAATCTACTACAGAAGGAATTCTACAGCCCTAATGGCGAAGGAATACTTACTTATCTGTGGCTCACTGGCCCAGGGGCGACGCGCCAGTCGCGTCGAGATCGTGGGAGTTTGGTATTGGCACCGCCACTGCCGCCGCGCCGCCACGCCGCCGCGGCGGCAAATGCCGCCTTTCCCATTTCCCGGGCGTTCTCGAGTGCTCAAGCCCGGCGGATGGGCGCAGTTTCTTGAGATCTCTGGACGCGTCGATGCGCCTGAAGGTGAAGCGGACGAGCACGCAGACTGGTTCACCAAGATCGTCGCGGCGCTCACTGGTCACGTCGGGCTTGTGCAGGAGTGCTACAAGGACATTCCCGGTCTCCTCCGCGACGCTGGTTTCGCAAACGTTGTTGTCGAGGAGCGGCGCGTGAAACTTGGCAAAGGAAATGGTCTGGTGGGTGAGCGGATGTTGCATAATGTGGCGGGTATCTTTGAGGGGTTCAAAGCACCGATCTTGAAGGCTGGCGGATTCAGCATGGTGAGCTCGGATGCAGAATATGACGCTCGCGTCGCTGGCTTGGTCGAGCGGTGCAATGCGAGGGAGAGAATTGAGACGAGATGGTACGCCATCTATGCCCAGAAAGCATGAGACACACGAGTTATATTGTGATTGTACTGCGGGCAAGGCGAATATGATTAACTTTCCCTGTCTACTTTACCTGTTTGGTACAATAGATCATCACTTCGCACAGTACGGGAACAGACTGCCACCAATGAGGCTAACTGTTCTGAGAAATATCCTCGCTCATTGTTGTAGCGGATGGAGGCGGACATTGTATTCAGCATCGGTAAAGTGGTAAGCTATATGTGATATTCGAGCCTAGCGAGCGCTTGGTTCACTCGTCTCTTATTTTTCTCGGTGATTGCTGGATCCAGATCTTCATCTGCCGGGATGTTTTCTGCAACGCTGACGGCACCAGACGCAAAACGCAGTGCCCGCTGGTATTGTCCGAGATTCAGCGCCATCTGCGCGGCGTTACCCAATGCAATGACAAGTTGCTTCCGTGCCCCACGAACGTCCGCTGTGTACTCGCCTTCTGTGTGTGCATCCAACGCAATCAAAGCCACGGCGAGCTCAGCAGCGCTCGCAAAGTATGCACATGTAAGGCTGTTATCGTCTATGACATACTCCCGACCTCTCTGCATTGTGCTGAGTATGCGTTTCTGTGAGATTTTGATCGCTCGTCGAATTATGTCCGGGTGCGTGATCTGTTGAATGTGGTCAAGTGACGTTGAAGATGAAAGTCCGGGTGGTGCTTTGCGGATTGTCTGTATTCCCATAAGTGCTTTCCGTTGTGCAAAGACAACGAGTATCTGAATGAGTGCAATTGGGCCGAGAATGCTTCTGTTGGGGATTGCATGTGGAATACCTTTAGGGTCCGTAGGCGATTGGGAGGTTGTAGGATGTTGAACCAGTCCATACTCGTAATCAACGGATTCGAGGTCTTCGTCTTCATAGTCGATATCTCAGACGTAATTGGTATGTCGACGGAAGCTGCGGTACGCGACATGAAGGAGGGACTCAAGCTGGATATTTGTGATGCCGCACGACTGCGCTGCATGTGTAATAGTCGCGATCAAACGCAATATAATCGTACGGCATCCCCCTAGTACTTACGGTGAGTGTACAATGACCTCAGTTACTCGATGACATACCTCGAGTCGTATAAATTTTTGTTGTGTCCCCTTAGCGTAGCGGTTGGGCTGCATTGGAATCATCCATGACCTTTTCAAACTGTCTATCCAGCACTTCGTGAGGATCTCGATCAAGACTTCATTATTGTAGAGCGCCTACCGTTGTACTTTTTCTATATCTTCTTCTTCTAGGTGCATCCAGACCTCAATCAGCTTCTCATTCCAGTCTCGACGCGACGCCAGAACGGCCACTACTTGTGATATCGTCTTGTAATCTCGAGCCTCTGATTCTTCGTACTTTGTCAAAAACCGAGTGGAAAGCCCCGGTATGATATAATCCGGGCAATCAAATAGTAGGCTCAACGCCTTGCAGGCTTTCAAAGGGACCTGAGTCTCTGGATACCACGGCTGTCTGTCAAGAATAGTACAATCAAGCAGCAGATCAAGGATTTGCGGTTTATGCCTGAGCATATCGAGACAGAAATTCCTTGGTTGGACGGAGAAAGGATGCAGAATACCAAGCAAGGTGCACATTCCGCTATCTTGAGTGATAGCATGGACTCTCGATGTGCGTTCGCTTACAGCGTCGGGCGGTGTCTTTAGGAAGCCCAACGATTAGGTACACGAGACGGCAGTATCAAAACAACCTCGTACATTCTTGTGCATGAATACTGCGCTTTGCCACGCTGTTGCGTGATTATTCATTTGCTTGACTATATTCTCTGGTCCCCGTAGTGCATAATCACAGACTGCTTCGACAATTTCAGCAGCGACATTAGAGCTAATGTGGTGTCCCAAAAATGCTTCCGCGAGGGTGCGAAGAGCGTTGATGCCAAGATGGTGCATGACGCATAAACCGTGTTGCATGAACTGTCAGCGCATTTATTTTGGCACTGCGGGCGATAATAATCATGAAAACATACTCGTAAGCACAATCCCACCACATCCTCTTCCAACATCTCTTTCAACAAGCTCCGCCGTTCGGAATCATTTCCGCAATTCAGTAGAGCACATAGGCCTTGCATGGTCCAGTACTGAGCGTAATATCTCCCTTGGTAGTTGGGGTGCCTAGGCCACTCATGCCTTAGAACACTCAACATCGTGGACACTATACCTGCCTTTACGCATGAGCGCGCAAACGGAGTAAGCATTCTCGGGCCGAGAATCTGTGTATTTTTGTGGAATTCTTCATTCAGAGCTCCCTAGAGAGCATGTTAGTACATTATCTAACCTATTATCTCCATCCAGTTATGGTAGATCAACGCGGTCAGGGAGCTCACCGTGTATGACTGCACAAACACCTCGTCTTCATGAGGATCCGCTAGTCTCGCAAAGACTCTTCTTAGGTTGTGGCCTCGCTGAGGCTCCGGCGTTTGTTGTACTAAGTTCTTCAAAGTTGTCAAAATATCTCGCGCCATTGTGCCCGCACGGAGAAGAAGATGTCAGAAGAGAAATCCTAGGCTCGTTTGATAAGAGATGTTAGCGATGGCAATTGACGGAGCCAACGGCGTGAGAAAGGAATCCTCGGGCCGAAGGGGCCGCCTATGCTTTGAAAATATTGACTCCGCCCAATCGGAAATCTATAATCCGGCTTTTACAATAGGGAAACTATCAACTCCGCTTGAACTCGACGTCAACCACCTCGACGCTTGTCCCTTTAACAGTGGTTTGGCTGTTATATCTCTGCTTGCAGTGATACACAATTGCTTCCTGATTTCGTCCTACAGCTTCACGCATCTCTTCCAAGGCCATCACGCCAGACACCTCATAATGTCAGACAGTGCATCTATATACGGCAGCGATCACTTTATGAACGTCGCGGATGGCGGGCTGGTGGGTGATATTCACATTTACTGTAGCTATTGTACGACTCACCGCTGCGATAGGGAACCACGCTCGAAGAGATATTCAAAGTCGACGTTTCCGGCCGGTTGTGGTCTACGCAGGTAGTGATCGAGGAGCCCGACAAGCTGAGAGAAGTCCATGTGGAATTTCTGCGATCTGGGGCCAGGACCATCTTGACGGCTACGTTGGGTGACAATCTTCTGGTGATGTTGGTTTGGGACTGATAATGATATCAATTGCCAGATATCAGAGCTCATACCTCACGTTTGTGCAATCAGCCTGTTCCAAAGCTCAAGCAGTCGCATTCATGCAAAGGGCCGTGCGAGTGGCGGAAGAAGCCAGGTCTCAGTTCTGTAGTGAGACCGGGACTAGCGATAGACATATCAAGGTCGCATTGTCCTTGGGAACATTTGGCGCCGCCATCTCCCCCATGCAAGATTTTACCGGATACTTACCCCCGCCCTTCGGCCCTCGCGGATACTCTGAGGCAGGAGAGAACGTCAATTCGTTCGGTAACGATGCCGAAGCCAGGGAAAAATCAATTACCGCACTATCCGAGTTCCACGCCGAACGCCTTTCCACCTTTACGGCCGACGCACAGATCTGGGAACTTATCGACTACGTCGCATTCGAGACCATACCGCTCGCACGCGAGATTGAGGCGGTAAGGCGAGCAGTGAAGATGGTTATGGGCGAGGAAAAGATCAAGATGAAGCCATGGTGGATCAGTGCCGTCTTCCCTGATGGCCACTGCTCAGAGAAGCGCCCCAATGGCACGTATTATACCGCAGAGGATGTAGTCAACGCCATGCTTGAGGTGGATGACGAGCGTCCTCTCCCTGTACCTCAAGGAATAGGGGTCAATTGCACAACGGTAAAGTTTCTGCCTGATATTCTACAGAGAATGGCGGAAGCGGTCGACGAGCTGGCACTGGAACCTAACTCTCGTCCGTTCTTGGTTTTGAAGCCCAACGGAGACAAGGATTCGGGGCGTGCATGGGCTGACTCCGTCGGCAGCTTGGCGCGCCTTCAAAGTAGTGACGTATGGAGTGCAGTGCTAATCGGAGGGTGTTGCAAAACGGGGCCCGATGAGATTCGCGCCATAAGTGGCATGCTAACATTACCAGGTGGCGACTAGATGTACGTCAATCCATGTACTCACATGAGGGCGTCTTTTGGGTGTCTTGATGTCGAAGAAAGCCAACACTATAAGGTGCTTCGTAAAACGAGTTGTATACCTCCCGCTGCTTCTTATTCTTTCTCCTATCGATAAAGGGCCGCACCGGGTAGTCATCGTCATTTCGCTATGTATCTAGCTATACGGATTTGCGAAATTTCTCGTCGTGTTGGGCCCCAGCTATGGACTTGTCAAGTCATGCCATCCGCTCACTTATCTGGCCCTTGTCTGTGGGGAATCGTGCGGAGTACGATATGATTACATTTCTGCTCGTATGCATGAACTGGCTTAACCACTAATCACATTCCTACCTTTCAATTCGATGAGACAAGTGCTGTACTCTCCGAGCCATATGTCAAACCATTCGAGCTCTTAGTTTTCTGCGGATGTACTTCTTTATATGAACGATGACACCGGCGGAGAGCAATGTTCTCTGCACTCACCGTTTCAAGAAGAATCGAAGGATACCTCTAGATCGGAACTACGAGATGCCGAAGCGGCGTGATCAAAGGTATTCAAATATGTCTGGAGGCTGCTCACACACTCTCCGCCCATTCTCCGGCATCACTAAATGGGCGGACCGAATATAAGTACATGAGCAGTAGTAGAATCAGTTATAACTGACACCGTACCCTAATGATATTTCGAATCTCCAGCACGAGTGGAGTGTAAAGTTCGTTTTTAACATATGGGAAATCAGACCAAAATCAGACGGTGAAATGGTCAGATCAGGGATGATATTATAATATTGATGGGTATCTTACCGTTGACGGAGCCTGCATGATAATTACATGATAAGAACGGCTAGTGTTTTATGCCGTATGATCAAAACTCACACCATATGATGAGGACTCGCAATCTCGCCCATGATTCCAATGACAAGACATTCATTGTGAATATTATATAGTACATGATGTAGCATTATTCGAGATTAAACCGACTAACAAAGTTAACACACGAGAGCAGCAAGGATGCACGAGAGCAGGGACACGAGAGCAGCAGCAGTAGATGAGCGCAGGAAGTACAAAGAAAGAATTAAAGCTTATAGACCGTGAAGCGACAGTTGGAAGGGAGCATGAAAATAAAAACATACATTTGGGCGAACACAGGCCCGGGACAAACAATCTCTGGGAAGGGAGGGGACGTGAGCGAAATGAAGCAGTGATACACTGATATAATATACCTAGTTGCCAGTCCTCTTCGCCGGTGGTTTTCCCCCTGTACTGATCCTGGCACTCTTTGCCCTGGTTCGAGTGGCAGGTTTTGGCGCCGGCACTGCCAGTGGATCTTCTTCAATTGAGGAGAGGTCGGACTCGACAGCGCTCTCTGGTGCCGTGCTACCGGAGGACGTGGGTGTTAGAAGCTATAGTATATTAGACTATAGTAGAGCAAGTGTCAGTGTGTGTCCTGTATCGCATAGTGAGCGAAACGTGCTTACCCCCATACGCAGTAGTACATGCGGATGGGGGAAAGCGAGGCGAGAGGTCGCCCATATATACATGTCAGCGACCCCATGCATTCCAACCTTTATCCCTTCACGTTGTCCCGCTTCTCTGCTTCTCTACCTCTCCCGAGCATCCCGAGCTGTCCTCTATCCGCTTCTCTGCTTCTCCCAAGCATCCCGAACCGTCCTCTGTCCGCTTCTCCGCTTCTCCCGGGCATCCCGAGCCATCCACCAGACCAACGCCGGAGCGGTGTACAACCTCACTCCGACAGAGAGTGGTGATACCAGCGATGAAGAAGGAGACACAGCAGAGCTTGCTGAGGCAGAGACTGCAGCATGCATGGATGAAGGGCTTTTTTGGGTGAAGACGAGGCTCTCACCAACGCAACCGGGTTTGCATCATTGTAAAGGTCAGCAGGTATTCGAATCTCTACCGTTTTTATTGTTCGTTAGTGTTCGTGTCTACCTAAAGCGGTGGCTGCCATATGCAGTTGAAGTTGTCGCTCAATGATAATTTTGTTTCTGAGATGGTCTCCGTATTTTATATTCAACTAACAAATGTACGAGCAAGATCATCAATTTTGATCAATGGTAAAGTGTCCGCGACATGGTGTTCGGCCGAAATTCACTGCCACACCGTAACGATATGTTCACTCAATGGGAATGCGTCACCATTCGTGATCATGCAAAACTGTCTCGACGACGATTTTATAACGGTGATCACTCGGTATAACGGTCAAACTTTTCCCACCCATTTAGTGATGGGTCCTCCTACTAGAGGCCATCCCGTCTGTTCTATAGCTCAGGGCACTTAGTTTGACTTGGATCCTGATCGTTTCATGGAAAAGTTAGCGTTTGAAGAGCTCTGCTCAGGTACAGATTCCGCCCTAGTAGGGGGGGCAATACCAATGCCACGTAAGCAGTGTTTTGGCTTGGATTGGCGTCTATAGGAAGGTTTGGACGTTCATTTCTGTATCGGAGCTTCCAGATCAATGCGCACTGTCGATTGACATATCAGCAGTCACAGTCGCATGGCAAGCACCGGAAGACATAAATGCGAACGCAAGATCTCCAACTCGGGAAAATACGAATCTCCGGCCCGGGGTTCCCGTTCCCCAGGAAAAATTAATAGGTTTCCCATGGACTCCCTATTGCAATATGGCCGCTCAGGTGCTTACGTTCGATTCAGAAGAGCCCTCTCATCAAACAGCAGGACGCTCGAAGTAGTATGCACCCAGCTCTTCAGATCGACGAGGTGTGCCGCGCAGTAGCGCAAGAATGTCAAGATTGGCAGTCAACTCTCTGTGCACTCGCGAAAACCTGCCGTGCGATCCTGGACCCATCGCTCGACGTTCTCTGGGCAGAGCTGAAGAGCATGATACCTCTTCTGCTAGCACTTCCATCAGGTCTCTTAGCGTTAAAACCAGATATGGCGACAAGGAGACGCGTTTTCCCTCACACGATGGTGCGTAGCCTTCACGTTCTGTCGGCTCAACTACTATTGCATCATAGGTTTACGAATTCCGAAGGCCGCTTGAGCAAGCGGATTGGAATGTCTTGGTTCGTTAGTCGAGACGTATCAGGTACATCTATGGAGACATTGCAGTTGAAGTAGGCACAAAAAAGCTGAAACGATACATCTCGCCGAACATCTTTCTCGCGCTGTGTGCTCCTCCGTCTGGCACGGCGAGTCCGCTGTTCCCCAAGTTGCGAGGACTGTACTGGCGGCCTGATACCGCATCCTTCCCTTCATTCGCGTGTTATCGAACCACGCCCTGCTTAACCTTAACTTTGGGCGGGTAGGACCTCAGTATACTCGGTCTATATTAGACCCTTCTTCGTTCGCTTTAGAAGGTAATGCTCTCGAAGCCTTGACTGAGATTGGAAACCTCTTTCCATCATTAAGGACTCTCACCTGGACAGATCCTTCTCTATCGCAAGATACCATCACCGCCTTGTCGACGGCCATATGTTCATGGCGCTACTTAGAGGATCTTCATGTCGCCGCACTGGATCGCACAGCATTTTCCCGCCTAATCCAACTCCCCGTACTGCAGCACCTGTACCTGCACGCCCCATTACGGGGACAAATGCCCGCTCGTTGTGTTCCTTCCGCCCTGGAGAAACCATTCCCACAGCTCAAGACGATGCATCTGGAGCACTGTGCGCATGGGCTGACGGATGCCGCTCAGATCCTCACGGAAATTGACGGCAGAGTCTCCTTCTCCGAGTTCTTCGCGAGTACCTTCGGGGTACCACGCGAGACAGACCTTCGCAGCCTGATCGGCACGGTGGCAGCAAAATGCATATCCAATACTCTGACATCACTGACCATCGTGGAGGATCGATTCTCTGCCCCATCCATCATCCGCTTATCAGGCTTCACGATCACATTTGTAACGTTGGCGCCTATCACTTCATTCCGTCGTCTTGAGACCCTTGACATCGACACGGAGCGCAACGTTTCGCTCGGCGACATCGAGCTTCTCGAGCTTGCCTCTTCCTGGCCCCTGATGAAGCGTCTCATCATCAACCCACTCAACGGCTGGCGAGCCCCGTCACGCGTGACCTTCTGCGGACTTGCAGCCTTGTTAGGCCTGCTTCCTCGGCTTCAAGTTGTACACATTGCGGTCGACGGCTGCAGCACGACCGAAATCGCTCCCCTCGAATCACCTAAACGAGACGCTGCCAACGGAATCCTTCTCGAGGTGGTCGATTTGTTAGATTCACGAGTTGGAGACAACATCGCGGATGTCGCAGCGTGTCTAGCAAAGGCACTCCCAGCTCCGAGGACGTATAAGGTACAGGCTTGGACAGCTGTTAATTTACATATACGGGCGAACATGGACCCAGAGTCGGGTGTATTCTCGAAACGGTGGGAAGAGGTGTTCAGCGAGCCGCTACTACCTTTATGACTTCATTAACGAACCTTCCGTGCTAATGATAGGACTGTTCATCGATGACGTATGCCGAGAGTAACACAACCTGATAAGAGGGTATCTTTCCAAACAAAGAAGCACGAGTTATCAGGCAAAAGTTACTTTTCTTTTATTGCTTGTAGTTGATTGTCCAATTTAACTATTATATCCTCTCGCAAATTATCGGTACATACGATGTACGAAGAAAAGAAAGGCCAGCTATAAACGCGCGGTAGCTACAAGTCCGCAGGAATGTGACAGGTGTATGTACGCTGTATAGAAAAAACAAAGAGCAAAAGTCCAAAAAAAATGTCCAGGAGTAGCTGGTACTCTACTGAGTAGTGTCCGAAGCAAGCTTCAATGTCCAAAGAGGGGGAAAACTAATGTTCAGAGTTCGAACGTACAAAATTCGACGAAAGCAAGGTCCGAGCTTCGCGGCTGGTGCTCCGTTGCATTGATGTCCGCGCTGCGCTAGAAAGCGAGAAATGAAGCAGGTCAATGCGGTCCCCGAAGGACGACAACAGAGGAGTGAAAGCGAAGAAAGGTGAGGAAAGCAATATACCAGATAGCGTAGGTTATTATGATAAGGTAGAATAAGTATGTACGCAGTACGTATATAAAAAGTCAACGGCTAGCGCGCAGGGGTGGTTAAGAAGGGGTAGGTATATCGTCCCAGAAAAATTACGAATGTGTCCGTAGTGTCCGTTGAGTGGGAAACAAAGTATCCAAGAAAAAAGTCCAGAGGGGTGAGTCCGTGATACGACACGTATGGTACGTAAGTGTCCAGTGGCGTCTGACTAATCAGACGGGGGTAATGAGCGACGTGAAGGATCATAAAAGAGCGTGTGGGGGGACGTTGCTTGCACAGCAGCGTGGTGCGTGAGCGGTGATGTGTCCACAGAGGTAATGTCCGAGTGTCCGAAGGTAGTAAGCAAAGAAGAGAAAAAAGGATATGAATGTCCGAAGCATGGCCCTTAATTTGGGCACGGTGATCGTCTGAGGTAAGAGTCCGCGCGTTCTTATCGTAAGATATGCATGGCGGGAATAAAAGAATCTCGAAAGTCCAGTCGTTGAGTGGAGTCTGAGTGCCCTTGTTAAGTATAAGACGGGGGTTTGCGAGCGCTTAGAGGGAACGGTGCCGAGAAGAATGACGATCAGTGCGCAACCATACAAGCGAACGTTCGATGACGGAAACACGTTACAGCCCAGATAGCCGCTTCTGCACCTTCGCGACGGAGTACCCTATCGACGAGTCTGGCGAGTCAGCACGGAAGTTCCACGCACTCATCGAGGCGCGACTTGACGCACCAAGGAGTGGGAACCGCGCGCTGAGGCTGTTCATCGCGTAGAGAAGGGTGCCGACTTCGTTGCGGACCTCGGTGCTATCCATCAGTTGCCACGATGCCTCGACGAGGTTGAGCTCGCGGATGAGCGTATCTGCCGCACACGTCCAGCAGGGCTGCAGCCATCCCATCAGCAACCTAAACTAATATCCGTGGTGAAGAAGACTCACCCCGATGATGGGGTCCAGGTACTCGAAGTCCGTGTCGGCGATGTGCTTCACGATATTGACGCAGGCGCGAGCCGCACGCAGGCACTTGTCATACGAGTTCGGGTCATCGTTCGCGAGTGGGAAGTACAGGTGGATCATCGCGGCCGCGGCAAGCGTGTGGATTGCGATGTACGCGTGCTTATCGTCTGGCATGGTGGCGTCTAGCTGGTGTACCGGAATGAGCGTGCTCACGAATTGTGTGATCGTATGGTCGAGTGCTTGAATAGCGTCTGGAGTTGTAGTTGACATCCCCATCGCTACCGGCGAATATAATGGTGAGCGGGAATGGTACGATGACAGTGGAAGGAGGGTTGACTTACGTTGGTTCCAGTTCGCGGAGAGCGCGTGCGCGCGTTCGTACAGAACGGAAACCTTGGCACGCAGCGCTAACCGCGTGAACCCACCACTAAGGCTCAACTGTCCATCAAAGAAACTGTGTACACCCTGGAAATTGTGTATCTCGTTCATGTGACCCTGCAAAAGAAGCGACATTAGTACCATCATCAACGACACACAGGTCCGGCCGACGTCATCGGGCGTCGGATAACATGAAGACCCGGGGCGAACGCGGCGAGCAGAGGAATGAAGCAGGGATGAAATGGGGGAGGGAAAGGAAGACTCACCGCCTCGTAATCCTCCATCTCCTGTGGCCACGGCATCATGATTGGTAACAGCCCATCTGCGCCCTCCAGAATAGTAACCGGCTTGTGCAATACGACCGACCAACACCGGTCGAGGATGAACACCTGCCAGAAGGTGAGAATGCGCTCGCCCTGCTCGATAACGTCCTTGGCTGGTTCGAGCTCGAATGGTCCTCCAGCGCCCATGCCAGTGAGATCGAATAGGGGCCGACTCCGGCCCGTGACTGCTCCGTGAAGGCCGCACTGCACCGCCATCGACGCAGCGGCCGTGGCATGGTAGCTGCCTTCGAGCGCACGCCCGCATGAGAGATAGTACACGGCAAGAAGACACGAAGCCTGGATGACGTCGAGGATCCGATGTGGATACCGGAGAGCATCGCTCATGGCATCGAGCGTCTTCGCAAGGTAATGCTGCTCGTGCTGCGACAGCGGTGCTGGCCGCGAGAGGTAGCATGCCCAAAGGAAGATGGCGTTCATGAGCACTGGGTGGCGCCGCTCGACAGTAGGGAGGTGGTACGAGTCCCGAAGGCGACCCATGTGAATGCCAAGGAGGCACTGGTGCCTGTGCGACGAGAAGATGTCGATGCTGGGGATCGCGGATGAGACGGGTTCGCACAGGAATCGCAGAGCGGGAAGGTGTAACTCACAGCATAAGCGCAAGCTCAGGTGCTGGCTCGTCGAGGTAGTCACTGAATGGAGTTGGCGAGGGTGATGGGACGCCCTGGATCCATGAACCACCTGGTGAGCTGGTTGCTGTGGGAACATCAGCGACAACCAATGCGGTAAGGACAAAGGTATCTTACCAGAGGGGAACGGAGAGTGCGGGAGGAAGTCCCCACTGCCTGGTGAGCCTGCTATCGATGACGATGAACTTCCCGATCGCTGGTGGCCATGGGGATCGTAGAGAGTGACTGAGGGCGAGGTGTACTCGGGGTCCTCGAGCTCGCGGATGCGCTGTTCGAGACGTTCGATGTTCTCTCGGAGGAGCTGAGTTCTCGTCTTGCCTTTGCCGTCGTCGTACTGACAGCAATCGGACTTCTTCGCACGAACACATTGTTGGCAGCTGGGCTTGTCACCATCGCATCTCTGGAGCAGAGTCAGTCCCGAACAAGGTACGAGGAAGGTGATATATGACCCACCATTTTACGCTTTCTGATCGTCGCAGACGGAGAGAGCATGGTCAGAGGGAGAAAGGAGGAAGACGTGGGATGAAAGTGTACCTGCATCGGAGACAGGCTTTACCGCGTTGAAGGGCAGGAGGAGGGGCTAACGGGGTCTTGTTGGTGGCCATTATTGGAACAGATACTAAATATACACAAGGGAGAGACCTGGGCAAAGATGGGGGAAGGTCTGTGAGAGTGATGAGTGACGAGTGCGGGAGTGTGAGGGATGGACACACGAGAGGGCAGACTCTGGGAGAGCAGCGGGGGGAAGAGGGTGCCTTATAGACTGCAACTAGGCATGAAGAGGAAGGCGCGGGCGGGGAGGGCGGGGCAGGAAGAGCCTGCGAGAAGGAGAAAGGGAGAAGGGGAGAAGGGAAACTTGGTCAGAGACTGGGATGATAAATTACTGGGAACATGGAGGTGGACGTTCAAATAGCGATGTCAGCCGCGTCGTGCCGGTCTGGAGGAATTAACGACTTGATCGAACGGAACGAGCACGCGGTGAGTCCCGATTCAGTAATCAGGGACACTGACATAACAGGACAAATCTCTGCGAACCAGCCAAGCACACCGGCACATCCCAGTCCATCCTCCCCACAGCACGGCTTCACCCTCCCATCATGTCATCACAAACTCTGAACCTACCAGTGCGGTATTCAGGCGGCGCCATTTTGAGTTTCATACACTGGTTCATCACACACGCTAAACCAACTCACACACCGGCCATGTCTTCCCGCTCCGTCCCTCCCAGCGGACGTCGGTCCGTCTCCTTGTACCATTTCTTACCCTCTCATTGTCCTCGATACCTCAATGCGGTGGGCGTACCAGCGCAAGGCACTGCTCGTCTTACAGACTATTGCGCCCAGTCTTGTCCGAGCCATTCCATAAACTGAGACATCTCTTCAACTCCCGCATTTGCCTTCCGCGGCCAGATCTCCATCATAACTGCACTGCTCGGCTACTCAGCGTTTTGAATTCTCAACCTCCATCGCGACCATGCATCCTCCAGCAGCCGATCGATTATCACCAGCAATGACAGTGACGACGACAAAATACCCCCCGGAGCTACTTAGTTTGAGTTGTTTCTCCGCCGGTCTAGCGGTAGACTTCGGTAGATCTTTCAGGCACCCACATATCACATCCATGGGCTTGCCTCGGTGACCCAGTCAATCCGTTGATTCTTAAGTCTCATTTCACGATTTCATGATTTCAGAATATTGGTCATCAACGACAAGAACATCTCTGCATCCGAGCGCGAAGGGGTCTCCGCTGGGGCTGTCCGAACATCGGTCGCTGTCAACTTCACCCCGAGCCCGGGGTTTAACCTGGTTTAACCACCATCTTTCGTTGCCCTCGACACACCAGTCGAATCCACGACAAAATCGGCGTGAGCAGCGGCACCGAATGCGAAGTATATTTCGAGTCAGGTCAACAGGTCCTCGCTATTAGCCCCTGCCAGCGTACCGCCTCCTCGGATCTTTTAGTGAACAGCCACCTCACCCGTTCTGATATCAGACTGACGAAACCCGAGTGAATTTGGATATGACGAAACCACATGCCTCTCAGGAAGCATCGTCACGTAAACCCCACATATTTGTTCTCGGACAGACGTACCCATGACAAAAAAATGTCTCTTACAGGCGCCCACGGGCGGAGGGGTGTCTTAGCAAGACAGGGCAGCGCCCGTCATGTGCGTCGCCGCGCTTCTTGATCTTCTCTCGCTGGGAAAAAGAGTCGTTCGTGATAAGTCGTCCGCACCCGCGGATCGCGACCTGAAAGATAGATGAAAGAAGTCTGCAGCCAGCGGTGCGAGAAGGGCATCTCGTTAGTCACCTTCCTCCCGACAGGTGCGTCGCAAGAGGTCGCAAGAGGTCCCAGGTCGATGATCACCGGTTCCGGTCAATAGTTGTCACGCTAAAGCACGTGGCCCGCGCGTCGTTCCTCCCCAGACGGCCTCAACATCCCGTCGTATCTGACGTGCCGACGAATATTAGCGAAAAAAGTCGCTATGCGGGGTACGTCTTCGCTTCCGATCGACGACAAGCCCTGATGATTGGTGATCATCCCGGGTCTTCTCCTGCCTTCTCGTCGTAGCGCGCATCGCCGTGCATCAAAGTGCCCCGCTCTGCGATTGAACACGAGCAAGTCTGCATCCAGTGCTGTGTTCTTGGTGATCTTCACATCCCGCCTCCGAGGCTCCTCCGATTCTGACGACTTTCCACAATTCAATTATCAGTTGACAACGGCGGCATCATATAGGTGCCTACTAGATCCGGCCTGTCAATCAGCCGTCATACCCGTCAAACGACTGTCAATCGAGCTGTTGGAGATTTTTAGCGAAAGCCTTCGGGTTCTCCATTCAAGGCTTTCCTGTGCTCGATGTCTCGTCCGCACCTGTGCGAACCTTCCGGGTATCTTCTCCAGTCCCTGTCGATGAAATCAAGTTGATGTTGGGCTGATGGCTGGAGCCCAGTGCACTGCTATTCAGCCTGATAGCCGGACCATAGCAGGAGGCATGGAGTGGCGTATGAATGACATCGAAAAAGGATCAGAAGCTGCTGAACAGTGTGCTACAAGTGAGTCAATAGAACATCCGGTACGCGCGGTTTGATCGATTGCACATGAAAGCATGCACACAAATGCGTCATGATTGGAGAGACAATTGACCATAGGCACAAATAATCTGGTCGTGTGCGGAAATCCCAGAAAGCCCATTGCGATATACAAGCCACCGAACTTCAAAGCTCACATTAAGTACCGCCGGGAACTTGCGCAAGTACTGCCTTATTCACCTTACAGAAACATCATTGTCACTGACCATGTCCTGCTATTGAGCAGTTAGCCTCGAAATTGGCTCACGAGAACCAAGGATCCACCAGGATCAGCGTCAACAACTCCGCTACAAGTAGTCTTGTTATCCCCAAGCACATGTACCACGTTGACCGGTATACAATCCACCGATGTACACTCAAGCTTCGCGGTTGATTGTGCGGCTCCCTTGTTAAAACCAGTCAAGGTCGCAGAAAGGGATTCAACGGCACAAACGCGGATCTTCAGCTTAAGCACTGACACAATAGACCGTAAAACCGACCGGACTCCGGTGTCCACTTAATGCCTGGCTCTTACCGTCGTCGTTATGTATCTGAATATCTCTTAGAAGTAGTATGACTTCCAAGCATCCCCGAGAAAGGGTACCACGGACTCGGCTCGCAGATGATCTACCGTCCCAGATCAATGGCCGGAAGTTCCTGGAAGTTCCCGGTATATTTCATGCTCGATTTTCAATGCGGACAACGAAATGTTCTTTGTGTACCCTAGATGTGGTTACGGTATTACCATTTTGCATCCGCTCGTAGGCATGCCACTGACTAAGTAATCTCGCTGCCCTCTATTGCGAAAGCTATGGTCCTCCACCTTCGACGGGTATCACGGAGCTAGCTTTTTTGTCTCATGCGCTGCAGAACCTTGCTTGATGGATAAACCTATTCTTCATGGTTTGGACTGCCAGAGACGCATTGCACTGCAGTCGACGTTGCGGGGCTTCCTTTTGGCCGATTCGGATCAGGAAGTAGGGGCAGGTATGGGCACGCGGCCTGAATTTGCCGTCGATGATGTCGATTTTTTTTGGGTGAAGATAAGCAACACTGCTTAGCCTATTAGACGCTTTCGCAATCTTTTCAGCTCACGATGCTATCACTCACAGCTCAGCGGTGCCGGTTTCCTGATTCTGAAATATCTTCCTGGCTCCGCTGGAGCGATGCCTTGTATTGTTGTATGGGTGGTGTATTTTCTCGGAGTCACATTATAGTCCTCGGACGATCAGCATGGCCCTAATATATGACTCACCGACCTTCTGCATCAACGGAAGAGCGCCCATGTATCATTCTACTCATTCTTCTCTCATGCTAAGTCGAATATCACTCGCGTTTTCTGGTTCTTCGTAGCAATTTTATTCAAGTCCCTGGTTGGTTGACCATATTATTGCGTAAAAGGCGGTCGGCCAGGTTGGATGGCCGACGAAGCTAGCATTCAACCAATTGGCTCACGTACCGCGTTGCCGAGCCTTCATCTCGCTGAGCCTTTCTCTGGTGTGCAGATATCGCAATGATCCTGTGGCAATGGTAGGCAAAATCACTACCCTTTTCAAGGGTCCTTATTGCTAAATTCACTGCCTGCCCTCAGTCGCGTGAATCCCACGACGGCCAATCTTTACCTGCCCAACTTCATCATGCACCCCAGTGCGACATCTCGCGCACAAAGCGGTGGGTCAAGGAGACAACATTTGAAACATGATGGATATGATATATTCGAAGCGTAGCTTGCGAACATACGAATATCAAAAAATTTCGTTCTTCCGGAGGCCTTCAGCCCCGGACTTTGCTATGTAGTGGTTCTCCGGCTGCTTTTGAGAAAGTGAGCCAGAAATGGGACTCAGCCGGGCCAATCCTGCATTGTTCACCCCTCTCATTTGTTCATTCTCCGTCCGTTGACCATTGATGGTGAAGTTCTCGCCGATATTTTACGCAACAGATCGCGCTCGGCGAGTCGGGAAAATCCGCCTTTCGAACCTCCGTTAATACATATCCTACCCTCATGTTGGACTCACGAAGCGCTCCGTGGTAGCACCGTGCTACGTTGATCATGCTTATGGGGATCGAGAAGCTTTGCCCTGCTCATGTTGAAAGGGAATAACAAAATATGACTCGTTTCCTGGACCTTGCAGGAAACATGCGTTCCGAAGATGCGATTTTTATCCGGCGATTTTTAAGTCCCGGACTCCTCATTAATCGCTTAAACTTTGATTTTTCCCCCGTTGTATAATCGGGTGTATGCAGTTATGTTTCTGATGTCGCTTCCTTCTCGCGGGAGCCGTTTGGTATTCGCCGTTCAGCGCTCAGCGATGCTCGAAAATACTGCATAGATACACCATGCAGACTCCGACTATGTGGCTGTATCCTCCAATGTCACAATGGAAGCGGTTTCTATAACGAGCATCATGGCTTCCCTCGTCCTCGTGCTGAGTCTCTTCCTGACTTTCCAGCAATCAGAACACATCCTATGAGAATATCTTCTCTTCACTACCACCGCTCCATCCTCCTTGCCGAAATCGCTGACCGAAATTCGGCCATGCAGTATTCCACGCGCTGTCTAAGCTCAGCACTGGGGTGAGTCATGCGTTCCGGAAGTGCAGGACGATGGCAAGTTATTAAGATCATATTGGAGGCAGCGATAGTCACCTGGAGTCGTAGGACGTGTTTTATTCCCCTTCCCCACTCGAGAACAGGTATTGGCGCTTATTGTGGTACAAATCCTACAACGGTACGCAAATCCAAATCGTCACAATCACCCAACCTTGCGTTCCTGGCACATTACTCGAGGCTTCCGCGAGAGAATGCATGTTTTGTTATAACCTTCAAGTCAGTATCAGGTTGTCCGTCCTTGCACTCACATTGCTCTTGTCTAAAGCGATTACCCTCAGGCTGTTGTTTGGTCAATCCAGAGGCACTATGGCCGTTGGGAGGGTCGAATATCTCCACTCTCAATGCAAGCGCACACTTAGCCCCAGGAAGTTTTCAGTCTATGAGGAACGACTGCTGGTCACGCCGTGCGGGTGGATGGGTGATTTCTTTTCTTTTCTTTTGTTATTTATTTTGTTATCCTCCCATCCTCCCACATTTGCAAGTTTCTCTATCCCTCTGGAAGTTATAATTACGTAGTTAACATCACCGTGAGAACATCGCTCAGCGCTTGGTTCGACAACTCCAATGCTTCGAGCCGCACCCCTGGCTCGCTCAATCGCTACGCCTCGTGCCCTCTCGTGGTTCTGACCTCGCTACACAATTCTCAGATCTACCTCATCGGGACACCTTGCTGTATCAGCGTGCCTGGCAAGTCAAATGCACGGGGCTAGTGAATTCGAGCAAAAAGTCCACGTTAGGCAGTACTGAAGTCAACCAGGCACGGAGCGCCTTTGAACGTGAATGTTGGATCAATGATGAAGTGACTCAACTAGAATGCCGATGCTGTACCTTGGTACCCGTTCTGAACATCACAGACCTTTATGTCCTAGTATCCTGATAGTATAACCCAGCTGATTGAGATCGCTGAGTTAGATCGATCAGGAACCGACGACTTACTCGACAGACTAATACGTAGGGAGCGCCGTTTAGACGATCTTGATAAGGTGATGACCCGCATCCACTGCCCAGAAAGTTGCTTTAGCCCCGTTATAAACGGAATCAGGGGGAGGCAAAGCATACTTGCAGCATTCACGGGGAACGTGTTGTTCATTCATCAACCGCACGACCCCCGACGAAACAAGGGATCATCAAACTCAAATTTCGGCCCATTGCTTCATGATCCACCACCATTTGTATACTCTCGGAGAGTCGTGCACTGTGCGTTTTTCGGCCATACCAAGGTCAAAGGAGGTTTATCATGGTGCAAGGTTTCACATACATCTAGCAAAACTTGCTATATAACAGTTACTAAACGCGCTACTACTTATGGCGCCATAGTGTAGTGGTATGCACACAGAACTTATTGCAACAACCGATCTATCTGTAGCCCGGGTTCGATTCCCGGTGGTGCCCACAATCTTTTATTTTTCTTCGCAAACAAAGTGTTTCAGCTGTGCATGAAACGTTCATTGGTCTGATATTGTTGCAGGCCATGATCTTACTCTAAGATGAACTTTGTTTGACTTGTAATATGTAGCCCGGGTTCGATTCCTGGTGGTGCTTGTTGTGAAGACTTTTTCTCAACGTAATGTGGGGTAAGTCTATCGGTTTGTGATACCAGTCACTTCCTACGTTCCCATGTGCAAGCCCATTGCATCATACGAAAGTTTGAGTTTTGTCATACTGTATTCACGCGTAACATAAATTAAGACCACCGCTGCACCAACATAAAGGAGCCCACCAAATGATCGACGTGAAAGAAAAACCAATGAAAAACAAAGAACGGGATAGTACGGAAATAGAACTACGCAGAAGATGCAGGCTGCTAGCGAGTGATGGCAGAGCGAAGCGCGGAAAGGAGGCATGGGTGAGCAGAGTTCAGGTGTACATGATACGAGAAAGGGTAAGTGAGTATAGTACGGGTAAACGTAGGTATACGTGTGCGTGTGTATTGAGCCGAACTTCCTTCCTGGAACTAGAAGGAACGAAAACAGGAATAGCGGTATTTGTGTGGGAATAGCATTATGCAGATATCAAGTGGGTGACCGTGAATGGATGCCTGTCCTGTGAGCTTTCTACTTTGTCTTGCTGGTATTCGATTGCTATGAAAGCGCTTATAGCACGAGCGCAGCGCCGGCTGCGACGGCGCCGAGGAGCGTCATGCCCATCGCAGCGTGGGATGCGGCAGCGCCGTTGCCACTCGAACCGAAGGGGTTGGAGCCAGAGCCCGAACCGGAGCCCGAGCTGGTGGTAGGGAAGGGGACACCGGAGGCGCTTGCGGTAATGCTACCGCCGGAAGAGCCTGCAAAAGACACGAATGATTCAGTAACTAGGGCATACAAGAACACAGAGGAAGAAAAAGGCGGCGCATATAGTCACATCCACTCACCAGTGTTCGAGTTCAACCCGCTAGCGAGCTGCGCGAACCCGACCGAGGGTGGACTCGCCCTAAAGACGCTGTACACGTTCTTGAGGAATGTGTCGCCGACGATCCAAGCGGGCACACCCGAGCTCGAGCCGCTCGAGATAGTGGAGCCTACGTCAAAGATGCCGCCCACGCACATGGACTGCGACGCGCGGCGGGACATGCCAGTCGTGAGCTGGCCGAGGTTCATGTCCGCCGCGGAGACAGGCCAGGTCTGGCCGCCAAAGTTGAGGGTAACATTTACATTGGTATTGCAGGCTGCGTATGTGCGCGGACGGATGGATAGAGTGAAAGATACTAGTCAGCTGGTGGAGAGTAGTGGAGAGGAGGATGACGCACGGAACTCGAACATTCCCTCGTACTCGCCGCTCAACATCTGCGCGCCACTAATAGCCTTAACCACACTCTGAACGACGTCGGAGGGAGCACCAATCATAGTGGTACCAGTGTCAATCGCAGCGAGACCGTTGCTAATTGATATCGAGTTGCCGTTAACGCTCATGGCTATATGCGCCAATCAATGTTAGCTCGTCCTAACGCTAGAGCCTGAAGATACATGGATACACACAATTAACGTTCTGCAGCCAATAGCTCGGCGTGGTACCGCTCGGGAAGTTCTGATAGTCGATGCTGCCCTGGTACAAGCTGCTGTTCGTGCCACCGAGCGTCATAACACCTCCCACGGCCGAATCGACCTCGCTGGCGCTGTTGACGTAGCGCTCCAGGTAAAACGCCATTTCGGATGCAGAGAGCTGCGAGCTGTTGCTAAGGGCAGCCCAGAACGGCGCGGTCTGAAGGCCCGAGATGGTCTGGAAGCCGAGGCCCATGATGCCCGAGAGGCCGGAGGAGAGCAGGCCTTGCGATGTCTGCGTGACAGCGACTGTGTAACAGGGGAGATGGGATGAAAATTTAGTTCGGTAGCGAAAAGTAGTCGAAGAGAAGGGTGAGACGCACGGAAGATCTGCGGGTTAATGGTGTACCCTGCAAATGTTACTGTGTCCTCAGAGATGACACCCTTGACGGCACCTGAGCCGTAGTCGAGCTCGGTACTGGACTGGCTCTGCTTGAAGGTCGAGGACGAAGAAGGGTTGAACGAGCTCGAACCACAGCCCTGGCAGCTCGTGGTGAGGACCCAGAGATCGGATGAACCAGTGTCGAGGATGACATTGAAAGTTTGGGCTGGAGTGCCGATGCTAACTTGGCCCGAGTAGCTTGAGTCGTTTTGCTATTCGTCAGAGAACAGATTGGTCTCTGATCAATCTCTGTTTGTCATAGATACATGGACTGAATGAAACGCACCTCGTCAGTAATGGGCACTGCGGCGCTGCTCGCTCTCCGACTGTTCTTGGCCAACCTGGAGTCGTAGCCATACTTGAGACGGATGTTGTCGACGATGTAAGGGAGCTTGGCGACAGGAATCGCGTTGCCTCGCTTGGAGATGGGCACGTGGATGGGCGAGGCCTGGTCCTGCGAGGCCAGCACGCTGAGCGGCAAGAGGGCGAGTGTTACGAGTGAGAGAGGGATCATGGTAGTGGAAGGGAAGGGGAGAGAGAGGGCAGTGCACAGGTGTGCTACACGGTGATCAATGTCACCGAGCGTGACCTGCATGATTTCTGTGACGAAACCGTGCCTGACGGAAGAGGATACGTTTCACCGCCACGTCTGGGCCTGGCATGACAAAGGACGATCGCGAGTATAGCTGAGAAGTCTATGAGAGCGCGAACTCACCGGGCAGTTAGTGTTGAAGGCTGAGTTAGTAGCTTGGTAGCTGGTAGGCTGACGATGGTAGTCGTTCGGTGGAGAGAGAAGACTTAGATGATATTCATGGTAGCGACTGTATATATATGACAGGAGCGTGTGAAGTCACTACCGTATTCGTAACTACTATGCAGTCCAAGTCCCACGGTAATGTAGGACGGCTACGTAAGCAATGAACGTGGCCCTATGCGATGAACGCGGAGCCACACGAATGCGTAAGCGCTAAAAGTACCAATGGGATACCTAGCGCCAGAATAGACGTATGAAGGCGGTGTTTACTTGTAGACCTCGTAGAGGAACATCGCCGTACAGGAGGCTTCTGGATGAACCAATAAAGCCGTAAAGGGTCGAATACTAGACGTAAATCTGACATGGCACTCTGCAACGACGCGAATAAATGTGGAGTCCTCCTGGCCACATGCGACCGAGACTGCTGCGGACGGCTGGTGTAGAACGTGAAAATGTCTGCGATTGGGAGACAATAATAGAGGCCGTGGAGAACTGGATTAGCGATGTGACGAAGGCTGGGCAGAGGCGTGACGGATTGGCGGGACGCGCCAAGGGCTGTGGATGGGCGTCCGTTTGCCCAGTGTCGAACGAGGAACACACGCTCCTTGCCTGTCGTTCTCCACTTCATCTTATAAATCACCCGCACGTTGAATACAACTTTCGCGTTTAGCGCCCGCATTGCGCTCGGCGCCAAGATGACACACAACACCAACGGAAGCAATGGAAGCATCCAGCGGACCATTGCGCCACAAATTGCGCCCTATTCCCCAGCCGCGAGTGCGACAAAAGTAATTTGGTGGACATGGAGATGTGACCAGGTGTAAGGTCTTTTCGCCTCAATTGTACCTTGCTGCACGTCCAGCATCATGCGCATGAGCCTCAGTACTCAAATCTACGGCAACGCCATCGTTGGCGTAAGCGGCGATTATTTGTCCGTGTCCTGCAGACACTTTGCCTTGGTATTAGCTTCTTTACAACAATATCCGCTCCTAGTATATGGCCAACTGTTCTCTATATCTCGAGGTTTGCTTCAATTATGCTCGTATAGTCAGAACAAGGTATCAAGCTATTTTGACACCACCTCTGGAGTAGAACATCAATACCTACCGCATTGTTACGGCTTCTGAGCATAAAACGTAAACCACCTCGTCTCAACGCCTTGCCTCTCGTTACATCTCGCCACCAGACCCTCGACGAGCTCGTCGTATTCCACCTCCGATGTCACCAAGCCAAGCCCGCCAGCTTCGAGAACGGGAGCCTTGTAGCCTTGGTAAAGGCCTTTATAGTTCTGCAACATCCCTTCTCCAATCCTCTCATGTCCATTTCCCAGCGGGACGCGCCGCTCCTCCATCACGATGCCGCGGAAGCCCTGTGCTTCCAACAACCCTGAAATCTGCATATAAGGCTCTCTGCCAATTCCTCTACGGGCGCGCATCAGAGCAGTGATGCTATTATACATCTCGATGCGCTCGTCCGTCTCGCCCTCCGGCGCAAAGATCCCTCCAGCCGCCTCAAGGATCTGGACGTACCCGCCCGGCTTGAGCACCCGGTATATTTCGCTTATGGCCTTCTTCCAGTTATCGTGCGTGAGCGCGGCAACCATCAAGCGCTGGTTGACAAGCGCAAACTTGCCCGTCCAGTCGGCGGGGAGATCGAGGAAGGAACCTTGGAGGAAGTGAGTGTTAGGCGGGGGGTTCGGTGGAGCTAGTCGAGTTTGGAGGTCAATGCCGTAGATGGAGACGGTAGGAGGGACGACCGCGCGTATGTCCGCGACCCAGATGCCTGATGCCAGTGTTAGGACATGTGGCAGAGATAAATTTTGTCCATATCACTAACCAGTGCCAGTCCCGTTATCCAAGACGCAGTCATTCTCCGAAACATTCATAGGCGCATACAAGAAGGTACCATTGAAAACCTCCTTGAGAAGAAGATACTGTGCATTCAGTCTAGGCACGGGGATGTCACTATTGCACAATCGAGAGATTGACGTCAATGCAGCAATTACATACCTGCTAGCTTCTTCCTGATCAGCAGGGAGAATATAAGCTGCACCCTCCACATCGTGGTATTTTCTATCCTTGGCAGGTGTAAAGGCAGATTGGGACATCTGTGCGGGATGGGTTATTGGGACTATAGTCTGGGAAGCACGACGATTCGCTCTGTCCTACGTTAAGGTCTTATATGGTAGAGAATATAGAAGCTGGCGGTGCAGTTCCATTCATATTGGCAGCATGGGATGCGAATTCAGCGTCATCAATCATGCTGTCACTCACTTGATCCATGGATCCGCGTGAGGACTGTCAGAGCCAAGGTTCTCGCCCTGGATCTACAGGGCGAAAGAGCGATGCAACCGACCTGAAGCTGAAGAGGTTCAGAGGTCAACCTGACATAGAAATAAGTATGTGCAAAAAATGATCTATATCCTATACGTGAAGGTTTCTGATTTAGACAGTGAATGCACACACGAACGCTGCTCCAGGATACTTGTTGGCAGTGACGTCAGGAGGAAGCCCAACATGGATCCTTTGAAGTGTGCGTACGGTTCGATGATCAGAGAGGTTAGGACAGATCGCATCAGAGTCACGATTGTGGGCCGAAGAACGTTGTGCGCGGTCGAATGAATTACGAATCCAAGGGACGAGATCTGTAGTCGAGCAAGGGTTGGGTTCAGGTATTGGGACCCGGACGAGAGCCCCTATGTGGCAAAGTCAGATTGGGCGGAGCACGAAATAAAACGCGTCGCTATCGAGCAACGAAATATGATCTACCTGGTTCTATCCATTGTACCTCAGAGTCCTTCCGTACTATGCACAGCCATGTACCCGTCAACATTCCGCCAGAGATTCTTCGCGAAATATGCGAATACTGCAAGGAATACTTCCAGGGCAACAAGACATTAGCGTCGCTTGCGAGAACATGTAATGCATTCAGAGACGAATCGCTGGATGTACTCTGGTCTTCAGTCCCTCCTTCAGCGTTCTTCTCTCCACTCCCAGCTCGCGCCATCACGATGCAAGCCGACAGACCCAAGTTTGGCCACCCTACAGAAAAGATTGTGCGTACGACCTCGACTGCACTTGGTCTCCTTCTTAGCACAGTTTTGGAGTAGAGCGGCTTCAGTCCCACATCTGTCACAGCCTCAGAATGGGCTATTTTCCACAAGTACACCTCAAGAGTTCGAAAGCTAGAGCTGGACGAGACTCATAGAATTGAGCTTTCCGTTTTACGTTCACTCTTTCCTCACCCATCGGATGTTGAGCGGGTGCTTCCGCGATTAGCACATCTCGCCCTTCCTCGAAATCTTGGCTTTTATGATACCCAAGGCGTTCCGTGGGATGTTCTTCAGGTCTTCCTTGTACCCACCATTCGTTCTTTGCATTTTGACTCACGTGCAGATAGAGATGCAGCGGTATTCATTGCGATGATCCCGACAGGTAGCCCAATGCTTGAGACCTTGACCATTCCCTATGGTGACAGTGGCTTCTGGGTTGACGAAGTCTCCTCCGCATTTGAAGACGCAGTATCCCAGCTTCCTTGTCTCCAAGTCTATGAGGGACCTTTGCTATGCAAACTTCCTCCACGCGGACTATCACCCTGTTCCTCTCTCAAGCGTGTCTCACTTGACATGCGCTACGCTCCCATTGAGGGGCTCCAGCTTTTGCGCAATACCCTTCCGTTCCCTGCTTTATCCGATCTGAAACTCGACGTAACGTCTGTCGACAACATGTTGGTCTTCTTACAAGGTATTGACTCCGTGCCCCAACGTCAAGGTCAAGTCCAATCTCTGTCTATCGCAGTTGACTTCAACTATGCTCCGTCAACAAAGGGTATACACGAACTATGTTCCATCATTTCCGCCAACACACGCTTTAATCTGCTCTCTGTTATCTTGTTGCGCGACAACTCCGAAGAGTACGCAGAATTTGGGCAGAAGGACGGTGTAACGGCACTAGAAACGTTCCGGCCACTCCTCCGCAGTACCTTTATCAGGACTCTGGAGATCAGCATCTTTCCACAGGTATCGCTCACTGATGCAGACATGGCGGACATGGGCGCCGCATGGCCTCACCTGGAGGTCCTCAAAATTAACGAGGATCCAACTAACTGGGGTAGCCCTTCCCAAACAACCCTAAATGGCATACGCAGTCTTTTGGCAGCTTGTCCACGCTTGTCTGACATTGCGTTAGCGATTCGTGTTGATCACACGGACCGCGACCTCCCCGAGTGGCAGCTAGAGCAGCTGGACTTCGTGTCAGACAGGCCGCATCTTGCGCTGAAGACGTTCAACGACTTGGAATCCCAGATCGCTGACCCAATCTTCTTCAGTGTCGTCGCTTCGCAACTCGCGCCTAACGCGATCATAGGGCCCGACTGGCAACAGCCTGACCCACTTGCTATTGCAGTCAAAGAGGTACAAACTATGTGTCGGGAGAGAGGCGGTCGGATTAGCGCGTGGAGCTGGAATGAACTGGAGGAGCGCTTAAAGCATATCACAGGGCAGCCGCGGGATATCGTGTGTCAGATGAGGGCAGACAACTCTCATTTTAACCCACATGAGTGTTATCTTCTACCGGAAGACTTTGAATATTGAATCCAGTACGTAGTAGTTCGCTTATCAAGCTACGACAGGTTTAAGGAATATACCAGTGGGCCGAAACGTGGGGTGAAGAGGAGAAACTTGACTGCATCGCGAGAAACACTAGCGACGCGTTCGATGCGACGGACCCCGCAGCAACATGAATAACGCATCTAGATCGAGTCCCCTTTCTCTTTCTCCTTTCCCGCCGCTTCGAGCGCTTCTCCACCGTCGATGAGAACACATTCGCCCCGAAATATGACGTAGGCTTTCAACTCCGAGTCCTTACGAATGAAGTCGACGCAGTCGTGGTCTTCACCTCCAGCGCCAGGCTGAAGCCAAAGGAAAGCGTCGTAGTCAGTGAGGTTCGCCTGCTGAAAGCTAGCTTGTTGAAGAGTCAACAACGTGTCCTATTTAACGCATGTATGATGCGTCAGTCGAGCACTCTTAATGAGCAACAGCGGCCAGGGGACAAAAAAGATATAATGAAGGAGATACACACCCTAGCTTTCGTAACGACGCTCACGGAGATGCGTCCCCAGTCCTCTAACGGTAAGTGGTTAATGGACCGGATGACTTTCCGCCCTTCGACCTCAACCAGCTCCTGAACTCGGAAGGTTTAGCAAGGAAAGATCGTAGAATGGTGGTAGTGCGTCATACTCACCTTTTGTGGGGTAACCGGAGTCACATCTAGTCCATGTTCAATGTACCATCGCAGTATCTTGGTCGCCCAGGTAGGCTGTTGTCCCGTCGCGGTTGCGAACTCCCCCAAGACTAGGTATCGGTCCGCCTTAAAGAACTGCCTGCGCTTGCGATGCGACTCTACGAGCTCCTCCCCCATAAGGTTGAAACGAAGGCTCATCCCGGAGCTCATGAGAGAAGACAAGATGTTACTAAGCGTCCAAAGATAACCAAAGACATTGATGGTTGGCTTCGGCCGATCGACTCAGGCCTAGAGTCCAGAGTTGGCCGATTGCCGAAGTAGGTTATCCGGAACATTGACGAATAGAGTCCGAGCAACGAATCTTAGGCTGTAAAGGTGTCTTGGTCTCATGGGACGTGTAATCTGATTGCTTCGTCGAGTGCAAAGTGAACGAGGTCGCCAGCCCTTGCTATAGGGCTATAGGATCCCAGGGCCTAATTAATAACATTGGGCAACGCTGAGCAAGCGCCCGATGCTTTTTCTTTGTGCAGACACGCTCTTTCATCTTTATCATATGAAATATTGTAGTCTTGAGAAAACCGGTGTGCATTGGGGGCAGGAGTAAACAGATCCACTCCCGCGATCCATAGCTCCACCAAAGACAACGATTCATCCACTCGAATCAGGGGCAAGCATCTTCTCCACAATCCCCGTATCAATCGGTATCCCCGCCTTCCTCAGGTACTCGTCGTTCCTACCATTCCCCGACACCCAGTAAGAAGTGATTCCTAATTATACAACAGGGGGAAAGGGCTCACCAAAACTTAGAGTAATGCCTACTTCCCGAGTCACATAAAATCGTGGAAATCATCTCCCCGTCTTTCCAGCCCATCTTACGCACAAGCTTGATGCACGCGACGAGGTTCGCGGCGCTGCTCGAGCCAAGGAAGAGGCCGTCGTTCTGAACTAGATAACGGGACATCGAAACGGCTTCAGCGTCTGTTACTCTATACAGCCATGCCGTTGTCTGTTAGCTGTAAAGTTGAATATCAACAAAAAAACCAGCGCACCGGAAGGCGTCGTCGATGATGGGTAGGGCAAGGTCAAAATTGTGGGTGAGGCGGTTTATACCTCTGCATGTCACACGTTATAGATGATATGTTGCGCAAGGGAGTGTGCGACTCACATGCCCTCGACAACGGTATCGACCTGATGTCGGCGCTTCGTTCCTTCTGCTTCGCGCCTGTCAAACATGACACCATGTTTGACCTATTCAGCGTAATTGCGATTAACATAACTATGTAGGGTCAGATCATGAATGCACACGCCTTGTTATAGAGCCCGCTTCCTTCTGGATCCGCCAATATAACTTGTACATCCTCGTTGATTGACTTCAAGAACCGACCAACACCCGCAATTGTACCTCCCGTGCCTATTTGCATCGTATATGCTCATCAGCCAACATTGCACGAGACGACGAGAAGTCAAACGTACCTGCCCCAGAAACGAAAGCCCTCACCCTCCCTCTCGTCTGCCTCCATAGCTCCGGTCCGGTCCCCTCATAGTGCGCGTCGAAGTTACTCCGGTTCTCAAACTGGTCTGCGAAGAATCCACGCGGGCGTTCGCAGAGATCGGCTTCCTCGCTCACGGAGCCGGTCTCAGTGCGTGGTGCGGTAGTGCGGACGACCACATCGGGCGGGCCTGCGTCATCTAATGATTGAGCGGCGGGCACGAAGGCGCGGCCGAAGTGGAGAGCTGCTTCGCGGGCGAGGTTCTATGCGTTGGTGGAGATGATATTCAGTGTGAGTTTTACATGTGACAGAGCGAGAATTCCACTGACGACGAACTGAAAGGTAACGTTTAGTGGTGCAATGATATAGAGTGGAGGAGAGAAACGTGCCTGTTTCTTGTCTACGATACTCGCTGGTCTGACACGTTGAACGTCTGCGCCGAGTGCGAGCAAGGCGTGGACCTTCTCCTGTGCGACGTCATCGGGCATGATGATCGCTAACAAAACATTGATCCAGATCGCTATATGCGCGAAAAAGCAACGCACTGGTGTCGTAACCCCTAGAATGAAGTCATAAGCTACGATGGAGGGAGGGAGTTGAATAGAAGGGAGACGTGCCTAGCTTTGGCGATAGTGGCTATCGAGATGCCCGTTGAGCCCACAGTCCCTTCAAATATACGTGACCCAGTGTGTGGGTGCAACAACCCCTCACGCTCAGCGTCTTGGATGACTGTATGTGGCCCGCTTCGTCAGCGCCGTCGTTTGGGTACCAGCATCTAGGATGACCACGCACCACGAAGCGCGACGCGGTCTTTGACGCTCCCTCCAGGGTTTAAGAACTGGCCACTATCATGAGTATTGCGACGGAGAAGGCTTGGAAGAGGGGCCAACCTCCGCCTTCCCGACAATCTCAACTCCCAGAGCATCACTCAGCGACTTGATGCGTACAAGTGGTGTATTTCCTGCCCTATCGTTAGCTCTTTCCGGCGCAGCGTAACGCATCGATGCATGCGTACCTATAAGCCCAGTCACTCCATCTAGCACATCATCTCTCCTCAGTTCGATTGGTGATAGCTCCTTCTTCTCGCGTCGTTCTCGACGTGCTTCCTCGTATTGGTTGACCTGGTGCGCAAAGGCGGCGGTCGTGATGGAGAGGGAAAGACCAAGGAGGACGCCGTAAAGGAGGTGACGAGAATTCGGGGAAGAGAGGTCGATAGACGGAAGGGTTAGCTGAAAGGGCATAATGGTCAATGAGAGGAGACCGGACTGAGGCGCGTCGGACGATGGACATGCGCCGAAGGATGCATGATGTCAACCGCCGGGAGCGTCGCGAGAGCGGACGTCCATGGCCACCTCCTGGTGAGAATCACGACGGCAGCAGCCTTCAAGGATCCATTCTGGAGGGCGGTCGTCTAAGCCTCAAGACTCATCCAGGCTACGCTCTGACAACCTGAAGTCGCCCGACGCAAGCCCGAAATGGCGACCCTCCTTCGTCGCTCCTTGCGCATAGCGCCTCGCACACTCACCCCACAAATCACGGCCTACTCGATCTCGACCATGGAACACCATACAGCAAAGCTTGACACAACCTTGACCAGCAAGATCCAACACTTTCTTGACTCGTCCAACTTCGCCGTCGTCGCCAACTTCAAGGACTTCAAGCCAGCGCAGCCCAAGCCCAACTACCGGATTGTGGAGTGGTACATCAACCATCAGCCCGACAAGGGCGTCACTGCCGTGCACATAGACAAAAACGTATGCTATCGACTCTTGTTATACTGGTTCTCCGTATTTCGCCAGTGAAGCACGCTGACCGACACCTATGCAATTCTACAGAATAACCCAGCAGTCCTGCCAGAGGGCAAGTCGTTGCTTCCCACTGTCGAATCTTTTGAGAACCTTCAATCCAATGTTGCTGGAATGAGCCCATCGTCTTTGGAGAACACGAGCGTTAGCATTGTTATTAACGCCAAGGTATGTCTCTGAATGTTCCACCCCTCGCCTCTCCTCAGCACTGTTCCTATACGCCAACCCGATTCCGCCATAGGAAACGATCAGAATCCTCCGTCAAGCTAAAGACATGAACGCCCGTGCGATCTGGATCCAGCCAGGTGCAATGGGCGAGTACGGTAGCGATGCTGGCACCCTCGACGCACGTCGGCAAATCGAAGAGTTCATCAGCACCTCCGGGTTGGCCGACCGTATGATCTGGGGTGGGCCGTGCGTAATGGTGGAAGGGTTAGAGGTGTTGAGGAAGCGAGGACAGGGTCAGGCTAAGTTCTGAATGCTGAGGATAGAGTGATGTAACCCCTGGGTGCTGTACGGTGAGTCCTGCATACTTTAACGAATGACAGTCGTTCTGATCATTATGGCTCACCGAGGCACAGATTCAGTTCGATGTTCAACAAGCCCTGTGCGCTAGGTGAACAATAAGATGCTTGAGTATGCTATCGAGCCAATGTATGCATAGGTACGAATATGACTGTTTTTGACCAGTCTCTGGTTTTGAACCAATCACAACTCCATATCTCTCTCCCATGTCGAACCTCACCTATTTCATGCGAAACCTAAGGTGAGAGCACACTGTACCAGGTACCCGCTTACTGCAGGTGTCATTCTGTAACCATGGCCGATAGCCCCAAAAACATTACATATCTTGCTCGAAGCCAGGCTGATCTTGTTGGTATCCTTTGAGAACCAAAGGTTATTCGTCGAAAGCAAGACGACAACGCTGATTTCGCAAGCATGATGGGTAGGTGCGTCGCATACCAGGCGGATGCTTAACTTTCAATGGTTCCGATCGAGTTATAGCCATGTTGTTCGGTTGTGTAGCACACGGGACTTTGGCACCGCAGGCGCGATCACCGTCAGGGGTACCCTTCTGTGCCAGACTAATACTCGATATAGGACAGGAAACACGCACCATAAGGGCGGTGCCTGTACTGAGGAGCATGTACGGCCGTACTTGACAGCACTTTATCCCCGCTATCAGGTGTAATGCTTGCTGATGTCCTTGTTCCAGATCCACACACGAAGAACGTTCCCTGCGGTTTTCCGCTACCGGCCGGTACTGATCTTCACCGGCTGGTATAAGCAGCTGACCAGATAACACCTGCTCCCTGTGAATCAGCCATACCTTCGGGCCGCAGTTGGGACTTTTATCAATCTTCGTTCGGCTCAGGACCAGCTTCTACTTATATCCTGGTGGTATATAGGTTCATCGTCAACCAAAGCACTTCACATGCTATTCTACCCCCTGCTGTATTATGACAGTCATCGCTGAAGCCACCCTCTCTACTTTTACTCCTGCCAAGGATCGTCAGTACCATGATGTCGATGGTGCTGCCTACTACCTTCCTGCTGACAAGGAGGAAGCTGATAGGTACGCAAGTTTACTTCATCATTCCCACAGTCGCGTCACGTTCAAGCCGATGCTCAGACTGAACGCGCAATACCTACTACTCAAAGACATCTTCGGTGGTAATGCCATATATGCTCCTGTAGCACTTTCGGGCGACGAATGGGTCCTGGATAACGGGACTGGGACTGGTTAGTGTTACCATCGACTGTTGCAGCGCAGTCTCTAATATCCACCGCAGGAGCGTGGATCATGGATGTACGCTCGGCGATCCCTCCGTCCATATCTATGTACGGAGTAGACCTCCAAACTCGCCTTGTACCGCTGAATCCGCCCTCCAATACGCACTTCCTCCAAGGCTCACTCCTCGACCTCCCACGGGACTGGACAGACAGATTCTCACTCGTTAACCAGCGCTTATTGGTAGCCGCCCTATCGCAAGACGACTGGAAGAAGGCTGTGAGTGAAATATACCGCGTACTTAAGCCTGGCGGGTGGGTCCAGATCCTCGAGGTCTCCGGTCGGCTTTTTACACCGGAAGGCCGGACGGACGGGCACGCAGATATGTTCAACAACATCGCGGGCAAGATTCGAGCGGGTAGAGGCATCGTTGGAGACTGCTTTGAAGATATTCCGGATCTCTTGCGTGGGCAAGGGTTTCGGAACGTTGCAGTAGTGGAGGAGCGACGGGTGCCGATGGGGAACAAGCATGGTCAGGTTGGCGAACGGATGCTCCGCAATATTGTAAGCCTCTACCAAGGCATGAAGTCCCCCGCCCTTGATTGTGGAACTGTCAGTTCGGAGAGGGACTTTGACAAAGTTGTGGACGCCTTTGAGGCGCGGTGTAATGAATCAGGTGGCATTGAAACAAGGTGGTACGCGTTTTGCGCACAGAAACCGTAGGATTAACATAGCAGCATGGTACTTTTTGGAATTCATAATTAATAGGCATGGTGATTGTTTCATCATTGGTCGCGTTGCAACATGCCAGTAGAGAAGCTAAAGCGCTAAAGTCCGACCGAGCGGGGCGCGAAATCAAGCACATCGCCACCGGCAGTGTATCCGTTACAGTACCTTCAAGTTAGTCTGATAGTTCAATCCGCTCGCCAACCCGTGTCTCCTTCATCACACGGACGATGCATCCGGCACTGACCCTAGAAGAAATTTTGCGCGATATATGTCTTTATTTCAAGTACATTGGCCCGGGGGAGGCTAGGGAGGGTAGACAGGCATTGACATCGCTGGCAAAGACGTGCAGAGCAATCAGTGCTGTATCCTTAGATGTGTTGTGGTCTTCCATTCACTTCTATGCACTGTTTTCTGCTCTGCCGTGTCGTGCCTTTCAAGTGAAGGTCAATGTGCCACGCAAAGATTGCATTGTGAGTGAACCATCACATCACTTAGCTTGTTTCCAGGGCGTTCTCACTTTCTTTTTGCTAGACCGGTTTCGACAGGTCTTTGGTCAGAGCGTCCGAATGGGTTCGTTTCCATCAATACACCTCGCGGATCCAACAACTCTCTCTAGCCGACGACCCACTCGCTCAACTTCTTGTTCTTTGCCAACTATTCCCCTCCCGTTTCAACACAGAACACTCATTTCCCAACCTTCAACGTCTCCTTCTCCCGCGCTACCACCGCGGCAACATCCCATGGCAGACCTTAAACGTGTTCCTTCTTCCAACACTGCGCGAAATACAGCTCTCATCATACTCTGACGGGGTGTCTGCTTTCCTAAGGTCCATACCACAGCATAGTATGTTGCTCAACTCCCTGCATGCCTTCTCCATGAGCACGGTGGGCTGGTCTGCCGAAGTTGGGGCTGCGTATGAAGAGGCGCTGCCTCAAATGCGCAGTCTGAAGTACTACTGGGGCCCAGGCGTAAGCCAATCTTACCTTCGGCAGATTTCGACGCTCCCATCACTCAGGCATATGACGCTTATGATGCAGGAGCCTCTTTACCAGGGTCCCGCTCCACCATTGCACAGTTTGGCATTTCCGGTTTTGTCCAAACTGCGGTTGTGTAGAGTCAATTTTGGAATGGCACTGGGGATCTTCAAGGGCATCAAAGACGACGAACATGAATATTCCCGGGTGTTATCGATCAACATTGACTCGATGACATCACCCTCGACAGGAGATCTCCATGAATTATCCGCTGTTCTTGCACGCTTCGAGCTCCTCGAATCCATCGTGTTATCCGTCAGAGCGAGCCGAAGGAACGAAGAATCGGTATCACTCGCCACGATACGCCCTCTCCTGCGTTGTTCATCTCTTAAAGAGGTCGATATTGAAACGAGGATGAATGTCTCCTTCACTGATACAGACATCGAGGCGATGGGAGAGGCATGGCATCTCTTGGAGGTCCTCAAGCTCAACTCGGACACATACTGCAAAACACCCCCTCAACTCACTTTGGACGGTATACGCGTTCTGTTGAGCATGTGTCCTCGCCTTCGCAGAGTTGGGCTTGCGCTGCGGGTTCCCGGATCAGATCGCGACAGCCCACAGTGGCGGCTCAACCGTCTAGAGGAGGACAGAGCGGCGGGCAGGAGCGCGGAGATATTGTCATCGTTTCGGCTCGGATACTCACAGATCATCGATCCGACGTTCTTTTGCGCCGTCATGTCGCAGCTGGCGCCAAACATTGATTATGTGGAGCTTCTTGGCCCTGATATACCCACAATGGTATGCCCAATCCTTCGGGGTGTCAAGGAGGCGCAGAAGATGGCTCAGGAGAGAAATGGACATATCAGCGAGTGGAGTTGGAACGAGTTAGACGCGCGGTTACTGCCTCTTGTTAGGCGTTAGATAATTTGAGGAGTAAGTTACTCATTGGATCCATATTTGTAGCGAATTTATTCAGAAATATAAGCCTTTTCTGTAGGATGTCAGTGTCAATATCCAAATTTCAGGGATGCGTGTCTCTGAGCACTACCTAGTGCGCATGATGTATCTAGTGATCGTCTTAATATGACAAGGTGACCCACAGTATGATATGAATAGGACTCAATCGGTACGAGCGGAACTGTACAAACTGGGTAGCACTGTGGCCTATCAGTCGCACTCACCACTCCGAATTGTGGACATCAAACATGCGTGGTACTCATTACAAGTCGTAAGCATATCCGGGTATAGCAAGAAAGCAGCATCACGTCAAGCCATAAACAATGCCCCGAATTCCTCGCTCGTTTGCCCAATCACGCCAAATGCTTCCTGCAGCGTCCGCCCCAAGAACTCAAGCTCCTGCGTCACGCCCTTCATCGTCAACGCATACGCGAAGAAGAGAAGCTGTCGCGAGGCCTTCGCGTCCCGGTTCTTGACGACGTCCAGTTGTCGGATTGCTTCCACCTAAACGAGCTCCGTCAGTTTTGCCGAACAGGGAGACGGAACAGGCCAGGGAGGGAAGAAAGGACTGACCAGACGTTGACGGGCTTGCTCGGCCGGAGGCAGATACGGCGGCAGCGGCGCCTTGAGGCGGAAGGCGGACGCGAGCGTGGAGAAGTACAAAATGATGTTGCCCACCATCTCATGCCGTTCCTTGTTCACCGGCAAGATGAAGTCTCTGCGCACGCTCTACATAATCATTGTCAGCCCCCGAGTCTTGTACGCGAACGGGCGGAGGATAACGCACAGTAAACCACTCCTCACGCGTCGTAACACATCGCATACTATGCAGTTTATCCAGTGTGCTCTGCAGACTGGTCAGGATCGAACGATACATGAGCACCGGGAACGGGCCCTTCAAACGGGGCTCGTGCACCGTCTGCGCGAGGAGGTCCTGCAGCTCAAGCAGCTTGATCTGAAGGTGAAGCTCCATCGCCATGAAGTCTTCGATTGAGTTGCTCAGCTTGACACGGGCAGCTTTAGGAAGGATATCCGGCATCCCCGCCTCGTGATCGTGGTCGAGGTTGCTGGCATTGAGTAAGTGAGCCTCTTCAGCGTCATCGTCGTCTTCAGTGTCGCTGTCGGCGTCGAAGAGGTCTGTGATGTCGCTCACGCCCGAGTTGAACGCGACGAGCCGGGTGTATAGCCATCCGATGTTGAGACAAAACCTAGCAGATAACTGTTTTAACAATGCTTCAAACTGCAGATGCAACAAGACGTACTCTCCAAGCGCATTGCTTAGCTCCCTCCTCGCCTCCGCAGGCCACCAAAACCGCGACACGATCGCCGCCCACACAAGCCCCAGCGTCACCGCTACGAACCGATGATATGCAATATCCAAAACCGAGCGTGTGTAGTCACCCCTCGACCGGATGTTGTATGTGTACAGACATGTGAGGTTGTACGTGAGAAGCACCATCCGGCCCGTCGTCGCGTACGCAGGCTTCCCAACGATGAAGTAGAAGCAGGGCGTGGAGAAAACAACACCGCAGAGGGAGAGCATGATTGCGTTGTGTGCAAAAAGTGTGTAGACACCTGCCGCAATACCTGCTGCAAAGCTGTAACGGCGCAGGAAGTTGAGTGAACGTCGAGTGTACTCGTCCAAATAAAAACTTACAAAGTACCAAAGAATCGATGAAAACTGGCAAAATTCGTCGCCCCAATGGTCGGAGACATGACCGCCATATACTACAAACATCATCAGCCACATTCCTGACTTACACTCAACCTCAGACAATGTCGAGGTCACCCACCGAAACAAGTGCCCACTCCCCCCTATATTCCAAGAACATTGGCCGAGTCCTATCAAAAAATGCCGGCGATGCCAAAATAGCAAGCGAGATCCCGTTCTTGATCGCGAACTTGATGTTCCTCCCTTTCAGTTTTTCACGCGTTTCCCACAGGCGGCGCTTAAGCCGCCCCAGGAACGGCAGGTTCGCGCGGTTGGGCGTCAAGATTGTATTGGGCGCGTGCGGCTTGAACTGGGGGAAAGACACCTTGCGGTGGTGCGTTTCGGGGGCCTTGAAGAAAGTCGCTGTGAAGTCACGATGCCGCACGTCAGATTGAGGTGTCAGACAAAGAGTAAAGACAGATGGCGAGACGCACATAACCGATGCTGGAACGCATCGCGCCTTGTCCTCTCATCTCCCGGTCTGGGTATCTTCCGTGCCTTCGACAGGCGCTTGAGCAGCCGCGTGGGCATGAGCCGCTTCCAGAATCCGCCGCGGGCGGCGCGGCTCTGCTCGCACGCGTACAAGCGGCGCATGGCATCTACGAGCGAGACAAGCTCGCCTGCGAATTCTTGAAGCGTAAAGATGAAGCTGCGAGCACACACACATCTCAGCATTTAGTGTCTGGCCAGTGCCAGATGGGATGAAGATGACGCACAAATACACCAAAAAGATGCTTTCATTATCTGCAGACCCGGCCATGAACGGATTCACGCCCTCTCCCTCCCTGTCCGAATCGCCGACTTGGGGTAGGTCCGAGCGCCGATAGATGCGCATGACTGCGTGGTTGGACGTGCTCTCGAACGTGAACAGGGCGCGCTCAATGTGCTCGATAGTCTGTTGGAAGTCCTGCGCTTGCATCAGCTGTGCCTGTTGTGCCTGATTTGGGTTCGTGGTGTGGCTGCTCGCGAACGCGTCGCGGAGGCGATCGATCGAATTAGTGCATGTGAGCTGTGTGTGATGAATAGAACGGGGTCAGCGCCACGACGACGCGGGGTGGAAATCAGACAAACGCACCGTAAGAGCCTTCATCGGTGGCCCAAGATCATCTACCAAATCCCCAAACATATCCGCCGAAGCCTGCAACAACGCCTCCTCGCCGTCCTCCGTGCCCATCATCGACACCCTCTCTGGTCCACTTCTCCCATCATGCCCTCTATCTCCGCCTCCATGCCCAACGACACTACTCGCAACACTGGCTGTCATGCTCGCATTTGCCCCTCTCCTCAACATGATCCTCCCGTCCCTCTCCCCCTTCGCAAGCTCAAACTGCAGCCTCGTCCCGCTCCTGAGCCCATTCAGATGCTGCGCGAGCCGAGTGAGGCTCGCCACCGCGTCTTCATACGCCCTTCGCGTTCGCGCACGGTGCGTCCCACTCAGGCCGCCGAGCCACTCCGACTCTGCCTCGCCGAGGATACGCTTCAGGCTCGTGAAACTCGCCTGGTGCGCCTCGACAGCCTTTTGTAGCTTCTCATGCGCTTGTAAGGGCTGGTGAGATGTGCCGGCGGCAGGCTCTTCAAGGAGAAAGGTGGAAGTGAGCATCTCGAGGAGCGTCGAGAAAGAATCGAGTGTTTTCGTCATAGTGCTTTGCAGGTTTCGGGTTGCGCTTTGGGGCCAGAGGATGACGGAGACAAGATTGGTGATGCATACGCCGATGACAACGATAAGGCAGACGCGGAGTAGGGTGGCTGGGCCGCCGGCTTTTACGATGCTATCCAGGCCAGAGAAGTAATCAGATATTTATGTTACCGGGGAAAAGGAGGCAGAAGAGAAGGTACATACACAATAGACATGATAATCGTCCCCATATTGACCGCTATACCGCATATATGCGCTCAGGCCCCGCAGAAAAAGATCAATGAAAACGACAACACACCAGTATTGAACGTTGGCTTGCTCATCCACACCTTCATATACGAGAGCCCCGACCAGCTGACGCCGATCCAGAGGATGACTAGCACGTCGGCAAGCCACTCCCACCCGGCGCGGACCTCGAACCACCAATACATGGAGACACTGCAGAGGCAGACGATGGAGCTGTAGACGAGCGTAATGAGGCAGAACGTATCCGACTCGACCATCCCACCGAGGGTTTTAGCAGGATTGTAGTACACCACTCTGAAGTTCAGATGTCAGCATTGGAATTAAGATTGGGTGTATGCGCATATATGCGCGTGTACGCGTCAACATGCGTCAATAGGGGGGAAATAGAAGGGACAATGCTTACATCGTAGCAACCATGTGTCCTGACGGAGAAGGCAAACCCTGGTCTTTCCCCAACGTGGTGATATCACTCAGAAGGGCCGAGAGTGGAGGGGCGAACGTGAAGAGGGATGCCAGATAGTAGGCAACTATACACTTAAGGACGTTGCGCCAGACTACCGGGATTGTCGGGATCTTCGCCCACTGTGGCATCCACGACTTGGTCGATGTCTTCCGATCTGGCGATTCTGTGCCTGCAACCGTTTGCGATGAGGAAACCGCGTCTAGCCTTGGGCTCGCGAAGGGACTGTCAGGGTCTGGGGAGGGAACGCGACTAGAGAATGCAGAACTGCGCAGGTCACGTGTTGGCGATGAAACAAGGTGGTCGTCGATGATGCTCGCTGCCGCCGAGGCATCGCGTGAAGGGGTATGGAGGAAGAAGCTGCCGGTGGCGGACCTTGTGGACGCGAAGCGTTGTCGCGCAGCAGCAGCGGTGCTCGGAAGCTGGCCCTCGTCTTCCATGAGCTGTTCAAAGACGGACCATTGGCGGCCTTGTGTTGGCCTGGCTGGCGGTTCGCCAGAGAGTGCTGCTGAGTAACGTCCGGTGTAGGAGGAAGAGGAAGGCAAGTGGTCAGACCGGGGGGATGCGGTGTGTGCATGGGAGTGGCTTCGATGTTCGAGAATGGGACGTCTGCTGGGACCTGGGCCTGAACTAAGGGTGTGATGGGAATGGGAGGTGCGTATCTGGGCCAGCGGCGGTCGTGCGTTATAGCTGGTCTCCCCTGTATGCGTCTCTGAACTACTACTGCCTCCTAGCTGTGGTGAGCTCGCGTCAACAGCAGGCCCCGTGGCATGTTCCATCGTGGTGGCTTGCCAGTTTGCACTGTCCCAGAGAAAGAGGGAGAGAGAAACGAGCAGGCAGGTTGAGATGGAGTTGATAGGAAAGAAGGATGGTCATCTGGGGCGTTGCTGACGCTCTCGGGCGCTTCCAATGTTCGGCTACCTTCCTCTTGGCTGCCTTGCCCCCTCTTGTCCCACCTTCACACGTGTCATGAAAAAGGTAAATCAACCCCTATCTCGCACTTCTAAGTTCTAATCAATCCAACTCTATCCCGTTCGGAAACTGTGTATCCGGAAAATTAGGGGCGCATTACATACAGGTGACACAAAACTGTCCACACCGATACCGCTCTCGGTGTACCCATAGCCGTTGCGATGTCGATACAAGCTACTGTGGCTCTAACGGCGACCCAAGGCGTTACTCAATTGCACCACCGGTAAAGTTTCTCCAGTGTGTGCACTGATATAACCATGCGAGAGCCCTCACAGAGTATAAGTATACACGAGCGGCTGTAGCTGGGAGACACCTTCCATCTTCCCTAACGCCTCCACTAACCAGCTTCTGTTCAAGTGAGGCGTGATACGCGCTTCCAAATCACCCCACATCCATCCGCTTATACGACCCTCCTTCTCCTTAATCATCCGCCGCGCCTCTCTTATCCCATGTGTGAGCGAGTCCGGCTGTATGTGTGTCGCGTCGATGCAGACATTTGGAGCTACCTGCGACATCACGACGCTGAACAAGACCCGATCGTTGATCTGCGAGTCGAGGTGATCAAACGAGGTAAGCGCAACGTTGGCACTGCCGGCCAGCTGATCGATCCTCTCTAGCTGCCATTGCGGGAGTTTGCGTTCCGAAGGCTCGACCTTCATTGCTAAAACAAGATAGAATAGGCGGGTGCAAGACGCTAGAAGGGTAGTCAAGCCGTCGAGCGTGGTGGTGTTCCGAGAACCAGCTAAGTCTCTCCTCGTTGAACATGAGGACCTCTAGGTGAGGCCAAGATGAGGCCATCTCCTTGATGTTGGAATTGGTGAATGTTATTGTCGCGGAGGAGAACTCGAGATTGAGTTTCCGAAGGGAGGCCGATCGCAAAAGCGGCCGGATCGTATCGAGTGTCAGCATTACGGCGGGAGAGGTGCTTTCGTTGGCGTCTGACAGCGTCTGACCCGGAGTCCTCGTCCTCAGTGTCATCGACGTCAACGTGCACGGGGGTGCACGACTTTGATAATAGGGGCTCCGATCCCTTCGGAGCTTGCTTGGCATGATCCTCGCCCAAGCCCTCAAGCAAGCCCTTGCTTGCAACCCTAACGAAGTAAAATGCCGATGCGTAAAGACGTTATTTTCATTATCATGAAAAAGGCTTCCCATCAGAAGGAGAAATAGACAACACTAGCACTATATCCTCTGCCTCGCATTCCTAACGACGAAATTAGGTATACTTCACCGTGACCTTGTTACCGCTGATCGTCGTCTGTGTAAGCTGCGTGCTGCCCTGCTTGATATCAATCACCGTGGCGCCGTCGGGCGACACGCTGCCGGAGCCCGTGGTGGCCGTCGCATCGCTGAAAGTGACTGTGCCGAAGTTGGCGAAGGGCACAAGTCCGCCGCCCTCCTCGAAGTCCTCGACAATCCACTCCGCGTCCTGCTCGCACAGCGCGGAGCTCGACGTGAGGGCCTTCGAGACCTTCTTACCGGTCGTCGTGTTCTCGATCACGGCGGTGCCGGCCGTCTTCGACGAGGCGGTGACGGTGACGGTGATAACGTCTCCCTCGCTGATGTCCAAGCTGAAGTCGTGTGCGACGTCGGGGTACCATTCGTACCAGGCTTGAATGAACCGTCAGGATGTCGTTCGGTGATACGGGAACAGGTGACGCTTACAGTCGTATGAGCCATCAGCATTGAAATCAACGCCGGTCTGGAGAATGGCATTGCTGCAAGAAGAGCCGTCGATGCCGACCCATGCGCTGGCAGAGGCGGAACCAGACCCAGTTGCCTTCGGGACGGTGAATGTGCCAGTCACGGCCTTGAAAGTACCCTACAGGAAATGCGATGAGAAATGAGAGTATATCATCATGCGCAAAAATCGACGTACCGCAGCCTTGCTCCAGACAGCACCGGCCCAGTTCTGAGAGAACTCCTCGTGGGTGACGTTGGTCGCAGCGTTAATCGCGCCGTCGAGGGGCATCAACGGTTGAGAAGTGCGGGCATTGCGAGCTGCAACACGGGCGGCGTGACGCTCAGCAGATGTGGGGATGGCAACAGCGGCAGATGCGAGGATGAGGTTGGTGAGGAGGGCGAAGGCGTACATGATGATGACAAACTGGATGTAGAAACTGGCTAGCAAGGATAGCGAAGTTCTGCTGGTTGAGATGAGGAAGTCGGGAGGAAAGACATTGCCCTTTTATACGTTTAAAGAACAGACGTCGAAGGGACGCTAACAGCTCTCGAGAGGATGATAGTTTACCCGAGATGCTGGTGCTGAATTGCAGTGAATTGCCTCGAGACCCGTGAGGCCTGTCAGAAATCAGGCACACGAAGACAGGAAGATAACGAAAACATATGGAGAGGTGGAGCCACAGCGTAGCGATAAGGTACATTGAGGGCCACAGCACCCGAAGACTTCGAGATCAGAGGACAGCAGACAGATTGTCCCGGGGCTGTCGACGAGAAAGCGAGAAGTCAAGATCATGGGACTGCTCTTGCAGGTCAATGTTACAGCTGTTCATCCTCTTCACGCGTGGGCCGCCGGCAAGCTGACAGCGATATTAAGGTTCGTTTCCCCGATAATCATCCAAAGGCGACCACGATATCTCGGAGAATCACAGTATGCTCAGTCTCGCTGGCGGAGTGAAGGTTGGTAGAGGCTTGAGATGCTTCGTCACAAGGAGAGTGCTCACGTTGGCTCATGAACGCATATGGATAGATGCGGATGGTTCCCGAGGATGGCCGACAGCTCCGGACTGATGTCCAGGTGGTTGTATTCGGGACCAGAAAGTGTGCCGAACGAGTGAGAAACCTGATTTTCGTTCTAACTCTGGTCCGTTCAACATGTTGTAAGATAAGTGACAGTAGGAAGTTGAAGGAAGTTGAAGCTGAAGGGCAAGTTTGTTGATCGTCGAGCAAACGTACAAACCGTGTGAACTATTCGGGGTTTGGTTCCGATCAGCCGCTCGCGCTTCTCGTGCTTGGAGTCGCATGTCCCGTCATCCAAATCCTCGACCTGCAGCTGGTCTCCGTCATCTTTCTTACTCGTCATGACATTCAATCCTCGTGATATAGAGCAGCAGGTATATGTTGCTTTATCAAGGTCAAAGAAGGGGAGCCCACTGGTGAGCAACCCAACCTTGTAGATAATTATATGCCCTAACCATACCACTAGAGACGGCGTGCATTCGATCGGCTCCTAGGCCTCACCCGGGCACCCGAGTCTGCGGCAAAGTCACTGGCAGCTCAAAAGATTCCTGTCCTATTCTCCGACTTTCCTGAGCTCGCAGAAGAAGCCATCAATGCCATCTATGATCTGTGCGAGGACCTCGATCCTGAGGTAAGCAACTCGTGTACTCATTCTCAACGTCAAGCTCATAGTCGTTCGCGTTACAGGTTCGAATGAGTGGCTACAAGTCATTGGTACATATTTCGGAAGTGGATTGTAAGCTGGTGAAGAGAAATACGGATGTGCTTGTTCAGTTGCTGCAGTGCGGTGAGTCCTCTCCCTTCGTTGTTCTTGCATGACGTACATGATGTCGGCGGAGGCCATGCGGACCCGACGACTTGACCCGTATACTGCCCCGTCCCTTAGAAATCCATCCGTCTGACTGCTCTGCTTCTCAGACGAGCCACGCGAAGCATCCGTCGTCAAAGACGCGCTCTGTCGACACCTCGATTTCGACCCTGTTGTCACGTTTAGCGTTCTCTGTGACCAGATGACACCTCACGAGCAGCAAAGCATGGATGGAGAGCAAGAAAACCAACACCTGCGCGAGTTGGTCATTCGCTTCCTGGCTCAAGACGCTCGGAACCTCATTAGGAGACATGCGGATGATCCAGGTAGTGAATCTGAGAGTATCATGGCGGAGAGTTTGTCGGAGGTATGTTCTCTGTCGTGTTAAATCCTATTTCCTGATTATATGCATCGCAAGGCAATCGTAAGACCTCCCACGTCTGATTCGGCTCGCGTTCTTGTCGACCTCATGTTATCAATGTCTTACTTTCGGCGTGAACCTTCCAGGGGGAGGAACCTCCTGATCGCTTTGATGAGGCTCATCGACGCCAGCCTGGATACATCCTCTACCAGCGCTTCTATGCAGGCGACATTCGATGGCCTCGATACCTACTTTGAGCTGGCAGAGACCGTGTCCTTACAGAAGAGACTCGCCTCGCCATCTGAGCTTCTTCGGTTTTGTCTAAACTCACTGGTCCGGGGAGATAAACTCAAGCACCTTCCTCGTCATCTACAGCTGTCGGCTGCTGGCGTTATAGCGCGGGCGCTCGATGAGTCGCGGGATGAACTACGCCTATCCTCAGAGATGCGCGAGTTTCATGCCCTACGCGATCAGGCGGTCGACGGGTGTCTCTCTTTACTCGAGGTAACAGTGAACCACCGCATCCGCTATCATGACGTCGTTTCTCATACGTGAGCAGGTCTTCACAGCACGACAAGACCTGTCGCTGAAACCTGCTGACCTCAAATCGCTGAGAACATTAATCGGCGCTTGCAAAGCTGTAAGTGGAATGTGCTCGACCTGGTACTCAATCACAGGGCCCCTCTAGCGAAGCGATTACACGTCTTGGAAGCCCTCGCCAGTGCTTAAGCAGATAACCAACAAGCTACTGCAGGTCAAAGAGGTGGACGCAGATAAGGCACTGGTAGCCCTTGTTAAGGTTCGCTATTTGGCTCTCTGCTCTTTTCGCGCTCTGTAACGATAATTTACGCCTACCGCACGAACAGTCATTGGCATCCGAGCCTCAGCCCCTGCCTTTGGATAAACCTCAGGCACCCGCGCACGGACCCAGCTCGCTACCACAGAAACCATCGGGACCTGTTCGGCCTCCAGCAAAACGGCCTGCCCCTACCTCTGACGAAGCGGAGTCATCTAGAGGCCGCCAACAGGCTCCACATCTGGACGATGAACATCGACACAAGAAACTGCGCAGCGGCGCAGACGCGAAGGGTCAGCCAGTCAACACCCCCGCTCACGGGCTTTCGCTGCTCAGTCGGATGACACCGTCCTCGCCATCACCATCGCCGTTGCCCTCCCTGGACTCGCCCGCGCCTACATCCCACATGAGAGGAGCACGAAAGCAGGCGGATATTACGAATCCACGGTCCATGTCAGATGAGGCCCCCCAGTCAAACGTCAGTGCGAATGTCAAGACTCGCAATACCGCTACCGGCCACAGCGCCAGTGGCGGTCGCCCGTTCTCCCCCGTGGTCGGCTTCAGCATCAAAGGCGCGGCCGGGCGTGAGCTCCGCGACAGCGGCACCGGGTCCGGCTCGGCATCGCCTTCGTTGTTGGAGAGAGTAGCGACGAGCTCCCCTGGGTCATTAGGGGAGCGGTTAGGTGGCGGTGGCGGTGGTGCAAGGAGACCCGGGCGTGGTTTCTAGTGTGTAGTATATATGGGCTAAGAGTATCCGTTTATCTAGGTTGTCGGGACTCTCACTACTCAGGTGCACGAATCAATTTCAGCTGAGATGATATTGCAAGGTACTTGGCTATGATTACAAGGTATCAGGAGCGTTCGACAAAGGCGGACATAATCTGACATCACGTAGCAAATTGTCCATCAAAACCGCTCCCTTTCCGAAATAAGCTCTCGCAGACAGTTCTCCGTTTCGAGCCAGCTGACCTTCAGCTTGTCCCAACTCTTCTTCGCGAATAACCTCGTCGAGAAGCCGCCTGAGCAACTAATGAACTGCAGCCGAGGTAACATTCCAGCCAATCTCGCCGCAGTAGATTGTGGATCTTCTATGAGTGAGCCGTACAACTCCAGCCGCATAACGCGTTCTGAGCGCACAGAACTAGGTGCAAGGGGAGAAGAGTTCACTAAGACGGAGGAGGAGGATGCGATCGGCGATCCCTCCGAAAGGAGCGGGATGTGCATGAACTCCAGCAATGCGCAGTTGGCGAGCAATATTTCCAAGTCGTTGAAGTTGATATGGCCCGAGCCTTGTCCATCGATCGAGAGGGCGCGAAGCATTGGCCACGACTTGCTGATATGGATAACAGCCTGTCCCGAGAGGGAAAACGTATCACTGCACCTAATAGTAAGCTTAGAAAGTCTCGAGAAGGCTGCCAGTGGCGCGAAAACTTCTTGGTTGAGCTTTCGTGAGCCCATTACACGAGGCGGACCGTCGAGAATAACCTTGAGCTCCGTTAGAGTATCGGCAGAGAAGGAGGAGGTGATGATACAGAAGAACGAATTTGCATCTTCGATGTTCCGGATGTCAAGTTTGAGCTGGGACATGGAAGGAAAAGGGCCGGTGTAGGACAGGAGGCCCTGGAAGTCCGATATAACACCGCGAACACAGAGGTGCTCGAGGTCCGGGAACATCGAGTCTTCTAGGGCATCGGATGGAATGCCTGTGACTTTCCACTCTGGTCCTCCTTTCTCGCCTTTGAAGGACGAAGGTGGTCCTGTCGCAAAAGGTGAAGTCAGATCTAACCTGCGCGAAAGTTGTCTGGCGGTGCTAAGCACCCCGGCCGAAGAGTTCCCAATAGATAAGTTCCCGAATCTCCCGATTGTCCTTAGAACTACTGATCCAGGCCCCTTCTGGATCTCGGAAACGTCGAATTTAGGGAGCGGAACCAAATCCAGAATGCGTAACCTCGGTAATGAACTTGCAGCGTCCAATATCTCACCTGACGGGCGCGGATCGTGCATCCCGAAGTAGTCGAAACGCAGCGCCTCTAACTTCTGGAGTTTGGGGAGAATCTCCACTAACATCGAGCCAAATTCCTGACAATGACCCGAGCCTGGAAAGAGAGCAACTCCCGAGTGCAACCAAAGACACTGCAAGGTGTTGGAGGATAGCTCAATGGCACGGGCCAGACTGGCACCGAAGCAGTTTACTTCGCCCACGAATATGGATCTGATTCCATGATTAGGGCTGGAACAAAGGGCGTCGAGGAATGCGAGCTGTGCCTTGCTAGGCTGGTAGTGTGCTGTCCAACGTATCTCGCGAATGGATGGGAACAGTGGGAGTGAGGAAGAGATGGGTCCTGTTAGATTGCCGCCGCATCCTTGCCTGCAACACAAAGCATCGTATACAGAAGATGCAATGCGGACGGCCCCTTCAGCTGACCCAAGCCAGCGATCGATTGTAAGCACTTTGACGCGTGTGGAATATCGGCTCCAGATGGTCCAGTCAGCTTCTTTCATCGGACGTTTGAATCCCTTAGGAAACAAAGAAAGCACGGATGTCAGCGATTGCGCCGGACGGCTGTCAGGTAGAACACGACTCACTACTCTCCGCTCTCGCTGTCCGACTTCTTCGCATCGCACTAGATCGGGCGGTAGACACATGATCAGCGGATAGAGATGTCCCAGATCCGCATACAATGCGTCTAGCGCATGGCCGGAGAGGGGCTTGCAGGACCTCGCGAGGCTGCATAGCGCAGATTTGCCACTGGCATTGAAGTCTGTGCCGTCGCGTCTTAAGAAGGAGCAGATGACGATGATGATATCTGGTACGTGCAGGGCCCGGTGCATCGTATGATTTACAAACCTATGAAATAGATGCGAGATGGGTGAAAACAATCGACGACGGGCGCTTTCGTAGACATGGGGGTGGGCCACGTGGTCAAATCCGGAGTACACTACAGCAGGCCAGAAGCCGACGCGGTGACAAACGTAGAAAAACTCAAGGCACATTCAGTGGCTTAAAAGGCGAGAAGGTATGATTAGATATAGGCGGACTGAAGAAACTGGTTTGGCCGACGTCCGGAATGCGAGAAGAGGACGGTTGGAGGTACGGGGGACGGCCCGAATCGATTGATCGTTCGGCATCCTCCGCTGGGGGTTGTCCATTGGCCCCCACGCCTCTCTTGACGCCGCTCGAGTGTTTCATTCAGTTCGCCTGTCAATCATCTCCGGGGATCTATACCATGGCTAGCCCACACATTGAGACGGATAGCACTGAAGAGAGTGGGTATCTCTCCTTCGGGAAGGGAAGACTTTGTTTTCGACAAGAGTACGTGCCACTCGGAGTCGCATTTAAACTTGGTAGCACCTTGTCTGGCCATCACTACTGACATGCCTTTGAAGGGTATTGCTCCGCATCCATGCGGATTTATCGATTGATGGACCCTGAGTCGATGGTATCAGCTTCCAGGATTGTGTATGCCAGCTTCCGATACAGCTGGTGCTGCTTTGTTCTTTCACGTCGTACGAGCGCATTGTGTCAGACCTACAGCACTGAGGGAGGGTCGAATCCTGTGTACAACAGTTTCCAAAAGCGAGGATACGGAAGGAGCGAATCGAGGCAGAAATCGCGCCCGGTACCACGGTAGATCTCAAATTGAGAGCCCTTGTGGTCCTCGTCGAAAGCATAAAAGGCTCTGCACGATGTAAAGTCTGCTCATTGGAACACAGGCAGGACATGGTGAGTGCACATTTCTATTGTATCATCGGCTCAGCTAAAGCGCACCCACAGAGGTCTCACTGCCTTAGGTTCTGTAAGGGATCCATTAGGCATAAGCGAAAGGGCTCCTCTCGCCTGGCTGATTCGTTCGAAATGGTGGTACTTAGCCTTCCAACGACATCACTTTTGCTTCCCCCTCGGACAATCGACAACTCTCTGGATCAAGCAATGGTCAACATTCAGCGCCTCCTTGATGAAGTTTCTACTATTTTGAGCGTGCATATGAGCCCATACTCTCGGGGCTTTGGCGGCAGCTCTCCGGTGCTGAAGCTGCAGTTCGAGTAAGTCACCCACCGTACCTTGTGGATCAGGTTCATAATAATTGACTGCTCCATAGACTTTGTGAGTTACGAAACCAAGTCGAAGAGGTCAACAAGGAGCACAGCCTCGAAAGGTCCAATTTTCATAACGAGTCTAATCTTCCGTCCCTCCGAGCTCGAAGGGCACGAGCCGAGAAACTCACGTCAATGATATCCAGGGGCTTGAATGCGTATTGGGACGCGATGGTAGGCTTACGCTTCCAAAATAGATGCAACCCCATTGTAACGCTCGCATCTCCAGGATTTGCTTCGTCTACATTTCGGAGAGAGAAAGGTCCGAAAAGACATGATAGATCCCAATAGTGGCATCTCCCCTCTCTGGTTTCACGGTCGACTCCCAGGCACTGGAAACTCCATCTTTGAGATGGCTTGGTTCAGAGACGAGTAGGTTATTCCCTTGTTCCCGAGATCTCCGTCCTATGTCTGCTGTTCTCGTCACTCCCACACTCGTTTAACACCCCACTCATTGTCACTCTCGTTACCACCGGTCCTTCTCGTTTTTGTGTCATGTGCATAGTATATCCCACATCTAGAGTCACCATTCACTGTATATCTACCGCAACTTCCCCACGTCACGATTGCTCGTATACCCATGCGTCGATATTTGTTTCTACCTTCCATCCATCTCCACTTAGGTGTCACTTGGTTTTGGGGGCGAACATCGTCTACTATCTTGAGCTTCGTAATGACAAACTCGTTTTTTGATTTTGCTATTTCCGGCGTCGAGCAATATTTTGGTTTAGCAATAGCTGGGAAGGGGTACAGGGAATGTGGGCGAGTGGTTACTTGCTAACTCGCGATGAAGACGAAGGATACAAATCACACAATGGGTGATGCCCTGGGAGAGCGCCGCCCAGCCATTAACATCTTTTGACGGAAGTCACATCGGAGAGACTTCCTGGATACTTTTACCCGCAGTGCGCTGGTGGCGTGGGACCTACAAAGTCCTGATGTCGAAGCCTTCACCACTATTGTAACTTATCTCAGCTACCATCCATTGGGGACTCACCGGCATGGCCGCAGGACGGTTTGAGCATCACTAGATCCTCGCATGGACAAGTAGTATTGACTATATAATACGGTGCCGCCGATGTGCAAAAATGCATGGTACAGAAAAGAAGAAGTGTATTACATTTGGTCGGCTCGAGCTTGACTCTAGAGAGGTGAAATTGCGTAGTAGTGGTGACGAAGAACTTCACATATATGCCACCAATTATATCATGGTTTGGCTCCCTTTGTCATATCAACTGAACGGCTTCTCCTGGGCGTGATCGAGCAGCGGAAACTGGTCGGTCGACTGAATGTGTAATAGTATGTTACTATTAGTTTGATTATGAGCCATTGAAAGGCTTACGTTGTAACTCCCGAAACCCACTGGGGTGCGACTTCAATATCCTCTCCGTATTCTCCTTCCGCCTTTGAGATGTTGAACATAGAGAGTATACTCGTCATCACCAGCCAAATCGAATTGTCAGCGAGATATCGGCCAGGGCACACGCGTCGACCAAATCCAAAGATCATGTTACAAGATGTATCGTCATTCAACGTCCCGTCTGAGTGAAGGAAACGATCCGGGTCGAAATGTTCTGGGTTCACGTATTTGGTCGGGTCATAAAATATTTCCCTATAATGGGCTTATTACTTGACGTGCGAAAACTTTCGACCGAAGTGCTTACCAGAGATTTAAGATGGCGACGCTCCCTAGTAGCGTAGTCAGAGAAGGTTTGTGGAAGAGCTGTCGGATAGCAAACGCGAACCTTTTGGTATGAAAAATCCCTCATAGACCTCATCAGCCGTGACTCGGTGTGGAATATTGAAAGGGACCACAGGTGACCACCGAATCGTCTCCCCCAAAACTGCATCTACCAATGGTAACGACTGCCTGTCTTCAAGTGCAGGCATCCTCGTCGTTCCAATAGTCGCTTCCAGTTGATCCTGCATGCGTTTTTGAACATTTGGATGAACAGCCATGAGGTACATAAAGGTCAAAAGCACGGAAGTCGTCTACTCGCTGGTTGTCAGAAAATATAAAGCGAAGGAAGCTAACACTGACCGTCTCGGCGTCAGCTATGGAAAAGAGTTAGACGTGTTCGCGAGGCCTTATCGAAATGACGACCACACCTGTATATGCCGTGAAGGCAGCTCCTTTGAGTGCATCTTCAACGTTGGTGGATTTTATCTTATCTTCCCAATTTTTTAGTACATCGGACACCATAGATATTCCAACGGTCCCTTGCATCTGACAGGATCATTACCTCATAGCGTCTCAGTGCTATTGAACACTTACCAAAGCATCTTGAGCGTATTTGAAAGGCGCCTCTGCGGCCTCATAGACTCGTGCACGAATGCAACTTATCTTCTTCTTGACGCCAAAGTCTGGGATCCACGTTGGTGCCTTCAAGACTGAGAAATATCCCGTTAGATATAGTACTAAAAGATGAAAGGGTATTGAAATATCGTACGAAAAGGGAAAATCGCAGCAACAACGACCTCAAATGAGACTATATTCTCGATAACAAGCTTGTCAACTCTTTCAACGAGGGAAATAAGAGGATTAGTGCTTGAAGTTGCCTCGTATCCGTAAACCACGGATAAGATGATTGACGCCGAAAACCTAGCATGTGCTCGAGGTTAACGGGGAGAAAGGATAGTGAGGCTTAGGTGTACTGAGGGACTTACGTCTGTAAGTGCTCCTCGAACAGCTCTGGTCTTTCAAGAAGGTTATCCATTAAGATATGCACTCTGCGCATTTGGGAAGAATGGTATCGCGGGACAGCTTCACGTCGAAACGCATCATGGTGCATACGCCGATGAAGCCGCCAAGTGTCGTTACATCCAATGAACCCCGTGTTACAGTCGAGACCCGTCCTTCCCAATGCAAGGTAAGTAAAAGAATATGTAAGTACTAGAAGTCTAGCGGCTAACACTACTTACTCGCTATGTGCATTCAGTGAAAGACGACCCGAGAAGGTTGTGGAACGTTTATCGAGAAGGGACTTGGCAACGCTCTCTGAACCGATTATCATTGCATCCTGGCCAAACATTCGAAGATGGAACAGATCGCCTTATGTGAATGAGTCTCCGCCAGCTAACAAAGAACAGTGAAGTGATTATTAAAATGGTTGACTTACCGTATCGACGTCTGAGACGGCCAAGCGACTTGTGAGGCGCGACACTGTCGAGCTGCAGAATATTTCCAATCACGGGAAGACCAACGGGTCCTGGAGGTAAAGAAGATCCACCGAAGCCATGTCTCTTTTTCCTGCTAGAGATTAGATGAGCGATATAGGCGAGAGAAATGCCAAAGGTGTAAGCTATGGCGAGATTCATTGTGTTAGCGCAGACTCTTCTGAACTGCCAAGCATATTTATACGTGCGCTGACGATATAGCTACAAGCGTTACTGGCTTCAGCAGGCAAGCCAAATGTGTTCGTGAAAGTGGAGTACTCAATGAGCGGGATTATTTACCCACTTTGAGGACTGCTTACGTAGAAACGTTCTCCATAGAGCTAGTGGCGTCGGCGCGAGCTTACCTTGTCCCTGATGAGCACTATTCCTAGCGCAGTCGACGCCGCCATAGTTCATTGCAAGTACAAGTCATGCATGGGCTGATAACGGCACAGAGGCGTATCTGATCAACAGATTCATCCAAATTCTGGTTATATTTCTAAATTACCTAGCTTAGATTGAAGCTACGCTTCCAAGTTCAACAATTTTTTGACGGATGGTTCGTAACACTGCATCATTCCACAAGATCAGATGCTGTATTGGGTTTAGAACGTGACATTTTATCTTGGAGATGGAATTGAAACTGAGCTGTTTTATTCCTGTGATTTCAACTGGTGGTCAATTGATGATGTGATGAAGAGTCGATGATGTCGATGAAGCTCCTGAAGAATGTTGGAAGAATCATTCCAAGAGAATGTCTAGCGAAAACCATGCGCTGTCGGAAGCAGTATCGGAGGTTTCCGGCACCCGAGCCGCGCCGCTGTCACATGTCATCCCCCAAGCGCAGCCCCAGCCGCTCGCGCCTCCCCGCTCAGTGAGCTCGAGGCCTCGCACAGTGCACACCCTTGCCACACATGCCCTCAATGCTTTGAACATAAATGACAATCGCGAGTTAAAGATCAAATGAAGATTTCTTGCATTCTTTGGACGCAGTCCCGTTTAAAACACACAGGACATGCAGTACAACGAGGGAGGGCTCAGATGACGGTATGCCTGACGCCCAGCGGATCCCCTAACAAGCTCCGTTCCCCGCACGTCCTCGCGCTCTTCATTTGTGCCTCTCCGCGCACTAGCCCCTCCCCCATGTTTTAGCACGAAGCATGATCATCCCGCCCATTGCCTTCGCTGTCCTCAGTGGAATCAACGCTCTCTTCTCCTTTAACCTCTCCGCAGGACCCGAGGCTTTGATACCACGTCTTCCGACTCATAGGCCAGTCAACCATACCACGGGAGTGTCTCAGGCCGTGTACGACGACCTCGTCCGCTACACAAAGTATGCGTCTGGGGCATACCAGCTTATATGCCCGCACCCTCTTGGCAATGAACTCGTCGTTGAGGTAAGTCTACTCCTCCCGTATCGTTGCATGCCATTCCTCACACGACATTCGTCGAATTCTCTCTCGGCAAACATGCGACATCCTAGTTTAAGGAGCTCATCAGCAGTACCAAGGGATATGTCGCTCGAGACGACGATCGGAGAGAGCTGGTTGTGGTCTTTAGAGGGAGTCGTGACTTGAACCATATCCTTGTTGGTGCGTCGACTGGTCTTCACTTCTGAGTTCTCTCGCTGACTGTTCCTTCACGCAGACACCGAGGCTGTGCTTACTCCCCTATCAGTCCCTGGACTCAGCGACATCGCTGGAGCCGAAGTACACTCCGGCTTCCAGTTCGCGTTCAACTCCGTCGCGGAAATAGTCCTTGACGCTGTCAAAGACGAGCTTAAAGAACACTCGGGCTATGAGTTAGTCGTCACTGGTGAGTTATCGTTCGCCTTCGCCAGAACACGACCCAGACGTCCCTCACAGGGCATTCTCTGGGTGCCGCTATCGCTTCCATTGCCGCCGTATCACTCAAGTCCAGCTTCCCTCGTACGAATGTTAGGCTCTTCACGTTCGGTAAGTTCATGGACAATGCGCACATCGCTGGTCACTTAGTGGGACATCAATGACCACAGGGCAGCCTCGAACAGGTAACGCAGCTTATGCAGACATTGTCGAGGTTTTACTAGCGGAGAGTTCTATCTACCGAGGTAAGATTGTAAGAGAACCTTGTAATCATCTAACCACAACTCTTTCCCGTACAGCAACGCATTCGTGGGGTGCGTAAGGTCAAAAGCTTTCAATTTATCACTCACCTAACGCCGTACGGACAGACGGTGTACCTACGATGATACCTGTCGAGTTTGGGTACAGACATCAGTACGTCCTGTCCTTTTCCTCGTCTTGACCGTTCCTATCGTCCGCCATTGATCACTCATCATGTCATTCAGCGCAACCGAGTACTGGCATTTTGAAGATCCAGCTGAACCAGAGCACGTGCGCATGTGCGAAGGCGAAGAAGACCCAGAGTGTAGTGCTTCTATTCGTAAGGACATAAATCCTTCATCGAGGCGATATGAAAAAGTACGCTAACACCTCGGTTGTAGCATCATCTGGGATCAACTGGGCACATATGCGATATTTCGGGCAAAGTAAGTCGCTCTTACTCTGATGTAACCCAACGAATGCTAAACTTATGACACAATTCAGCAATTGCCTCTAATCCTTCGGTGTGTTGGTGATCATGGGAAGGCGCAGATAATGTTAGCGATACGATACAGTAATATCCATAATATTGACGTTCAGCACCTATTTCCTTGTCTTTACCGTATGTATAATTGATCCTGTTACCTTCATGTTGTCGTTTCTTCGTGAGGTACTGCCCTGGTGCCGCGAAAGAATCAGAATTACATCAAGAATGAGGACTCGGTAGTTGCCGATCCTGCTTTCACAATCACCGTCGCGACGCCCCGCCCATCGGAAGGCATCAAGCCCTACATGTGGATGAAACCGTCCGTCTTATTGCAGCAAACAATGCATATGACGAACGATCAAGCCTGGCTTCTCTTGCTCAAACTTGCCGGATGCTCAGCGAGCCAGCTCTGGATGCTTTGTGGGAAGGAATACTGAGCATTATCCCTCTGATGCGTTGTCTGCCGGAGGATCTGGTCGTATATGAGCGAGGGCCCCGCAATCAGCTCGCAAGCACTAGACGTGGAAACGGTGGAGTTCAAATGGTATTATATTCCTTGTTGTCGTTCATCAGTTTTATCGGGGCTAATTGACTATTGCGAATGTCTACCGTTTTCAGAGACAGCTCACCCTAGCGGATATGACGCTGTTCCTCAAATGTTCCAAGAGGGTGAGATACATCTACTCAGATGTTGATCTAGAGAGGATCCAGATACCATGGAACAAAGTCATCCGATTGCATGTCTCTGCTGACGTGCTTAATGCATTGCGCAGCCCGCCCGCAGCCAAAACACCCTTACGTTAGCGATACCCTGAACATGTTTGGACTGGTCGATGTCGACTCACACCGAACTCCGAACACACCGCCGACAGCTCCTTCTGCAGTTGTGCCAATTTCTCGCGCTCCTCGTCCGGGAGATCCAGTCCAGCGCGTTTGCCCTCGAGTACCATCCTGTCGACGACGCGCTTATCCTCCGTCGTAAGCGAATCCCACTTTCCGGATTCGCGAATATTCTTCTCAGCATTAGCCTTAGCGCGGAACACATCGAGTCGCATCTTATCCTCGACGTTGAAGTCGTCCGTTAGTGTGGTAGCTTCAACGGAAGCCTTACGCAACGACTCCTCGGGAGCGACTTCCTGGTAGAGCCTCATAGACTCTGTGATAGCTTGAAGTGCGCCTTCCGCCTCCGCAAGGGGGATCTGTATCGAAAAAGAAAGGGAAGGGTCAGTCCATATACACACGATGGTAACGATAATAATGTACGCACAAAGACCTAGCGCGGCGTCGATAGTCACCCAGTGAGGAGACATCAGGTCATAACTCGGTTCTACTGGACGTAATCAGCACACACCGACTCAAACGAGCATTCATCTGCAGGCAACGCGGCGATCTGGTCATTGACTTTCGTCTTCTGAGCGATTGCGTCCTTCACGATAGACACGACTTCTCCCGGTGAGTGATCCCAGCGTGGAGGCGCTTAAGGAGCTAGTAGAGTAGGTATATGTAAAAGGTGGGACGATGATAAAGACTGGTGAAAGCTTCAAGCGGAAGGGTACGGTATATAAGTCAAAGAAGCTTGTCCCTTGATACTGGCACGTCAGGCGAGAACAACCTGATCGGGAACAGCAATCTGGGGACATGGCATTGTCAGCTCAGTTGATGATCTGCACAAGTAAACGTGGGGGCTGTGTGTTAGCATGTCAGCTTCTGCCACGGGTGACACTTCTCCCCGGTGTTCATCCGTCGACTGACATTGACAAGTCATCAACTTCCTACTTACGAAGTTCAGAGGCCAGAGCCTAAGCGACGATGTATGAGGGGCGGAACAGACTCAGCACCTCACAACTTTTGGGAGCGGAAGGTCGTTCAAACCGTGGGAGCCGGATCGCTTTCCGGACAACGGTTCAACGTTCAGCGTCGTCACTCTAAGTTTTATCTTTCCGTTCACCTGTTCAAAATTGGCCATCACAAAAGCGAGGACATTCCGCAACTACTGCTTCCTACGTTACACCTTGACGAGATCATCCGACCCATCACTCATGAGCTTCTTGAGCGGGATCTGTGCGCTCTATCTGTTACCCACCGCATAGTATCTGGGCCCGCATTCAATGACCTTTACGCACAGCCGTTGAACCTATATAGCTATGCGAGCTGCTTCAGGTTGAGGTTGATAATATCAACATCAAGGTAGGCTTTTTGTCCCTCTAAAGAAAGCGCTGCAATGAGAAATACTTCCAGGAATCGCGCTACAATGTCCACGTTTCCTCTTCCCAACGCACGATGTGCGCTCCAGAGCGGAGAATTCGAAGGAATAAAACCCTCCCTGCTTGCTATGGTTGCTCGCCCAGCCTCATGGGCGCCATCGCTTTCCCTCTTCACCAACGTAAAGGAGATAACCTGGAGTGGACCAGATCCGAAGAGTATCGAATTTGTGTACACTCTCGCTGAAGGATGAAAGATAACAAAGGTAGACATCAAGACGACAGATAATTGCTTCCCTGCATCCTCGCTGTAGATCTAGGAAAAATCTGCCCCCGACTGGCATATTCTCGTTGTGAAGACACACGGCGTACGCTCACCGTCGCCCACGCGCTATCTTAGGCCATCTGTCAATGGAAGCTCTGGAATATCCTCATGGTGGGGCTGTAATGGGGGCCGCCTGAATGCATCTCGCCCAATTACGAGCAGGCTTACGCCACGTCGAAAAACATTATCGCATCATTGACATCGGGCCCAGCAATTCATTGATCCCGGATGGCACCCCAGTTTGTCCTTCTCTTTGGAAACTCGTCATCATAAGGAGCTTGGGCAGCGTTGCGGTGCCACAAGCATGCCACGCGCAGTAGGTAGTTGTAGTTCCATGCATATGTCCGAGCTGCATCTCACTTGTGTCATCCCGTCAGACAGACCATTCCGCCTTCACCATACCTGCGTATCAGCGATGCAGCTCAGCTCACGCACTTTGCGTGCCAAGGTGATTTTTACACCAAGTACTGATGTGTATAGGGAAGACGAATCCTACGGACGTCCTTCAAATTGCCGCCTCCTTGGAGTTTTGGCGGTCTGGAATTAATCGTCAACGATGGCAAGCGTAGGATAAAACACTCCGACAATAACCTGGTGGAGATGGCGACCGCATGGCCACATGGCCACATCTTAGCGCTCAGCCAGGAGGAAAGATGGTACGCGCTGTCTCCAGTAACGTTCACTGGGTTGGCGAAGCTCGTAGAACTTTGTCCGCGTCTCGAATCCGTTTCCATCGCAGTTGACGGATGGAAGCCCACAGCACGAAATCAATACCGGTGATCGCGGGAATGCGTTCAGTGACACCATTCCTGGTTCTTCATTGGTCTCACTCAGCTTACCAGACTCGGTGATTGGCTCTATTTGCGTAATGGGTGATGGAGGATCGAGCCCGGGGTGGGATATATCACGAGTTTTTTTTTAAGTCTACGAGATACACTGTACGATGTGCTTGACTATGGTGGATGCGATCAGCTTCAACAGATACGAGGACAGAAACCAGAGTTATACGCACATAAGGGTTGGTAGGCAACAGAGCTTCCCTGGAGTTGGTCAGACAGCTGATTGTTTTACCCACTGTCACCCGACCTCGCGGGAGTGCTAGTTGGCATACTTGTCATCGACAAGCGCCCCTAGACGCTTGTCTAGCTCATACCAGCTACATGCACCGATGTTACCCCTCTCTGCGTAGATCATTTGAGCCTCTTGAATGTACTTGGTGATGCTGTTTTGATACTGCCAACTAAAAACGGTGACATCAGGAGCGAGCCGGGAGATGACGACGGAGAAGAGGACTGGATCGTCAATCACTGAATCCAGGAGGTACCATTCGGATAGATTTCCACGGCCCTTGGTGGTACGCTGCAATGCATGGCCATGGAGCTGCCAGTTGGGTTGCTGACGGTCAGATGCCATGACGTGAATAGGCATCGCGAGCAATGACAGACGAGGACAGCGTTTGAGCAGGTAGCACACCCCGTTGAGTGTGATCAGTGGATGCATGTCCCAGTCGGAGTGCAGGTTTATGTTTAGGGCCTCAAGAAGCGGCCAAGCATCCGCCATTGTTGAGATGTCGGAATCAATTAGCCCAATCTTGAGCGGGACGGTAAGTTCGATGGTCCGAAGAGAGGTATGACGAAGCAATGGATCAATAGCCTTGAGAGACATGATATCACCTGCGTAGTTTTCAACACTAGCAAAACTGTTGACAGTGATGTCTACCACGCAATTGAACGCAGTGCAACGTTTTGGGATCTCAGAACAGATGCTGCGAATATCCGAGGAAGAACGCACGCTAGACGTCGATATCGTTATCGAGAGAGGTCTGGACACCGTATCCATACTGTCGGCGACGTCAATACCTTCAAGAAACTTCCGCGTCTGCCACAGCCCTCCCACGTTCAAAACGAGCTCGGAAAGAGCAGGAAAGGGGAGGCTTCGTTGGGGAAAGGCGATTTCTTGACAAAAGGGATGTTTTAAGTCCAATGATACACGCTGCCAAATTAAGTAACCGGAATTGGTAGCCCCTATTCTGTCCCATCGGCCAACAAAACATACATACAACTAGTTACAGAGCACCAGTGCTCACGAAACTTTATAGTGGCAGTCTTATAGATGTTAATGGCTCCCAAATAGAATTTTAGGAAAAAATATCAAGTAGAAATACATCAATTGCTGCGACAATTTCAAAGTATGCAGATATGGGTTGTATAACTTGCATCTGAGCTGTGGAATATTTGTGAGGATAAACTGTATTATTCAAGTGCACAAATTAGTTTAACTGATCATGTATAGTACATCTGTAAACTATCAGTCCATCAGAATATGTTCTTACAGTATTGATAGCATTGGAATTTTGCAGCATGTTCTTCAGCTACACTATGAGGATAAACATAAAGTGTCCACACATTTTATCGGGGTTAAGTAAGGCATCTTGGGAGTTCAGCTG